AAAATATATTTTATATTTTTTTGTAATGCTCAATTTTTATATAAAAATAATATGAATATATAAATTATCAATATTTTATATAATATAAATATATAAATTATCAAATCTATTAGTAGGAGAGGTGTTAGGGGGATAAAAACTTCCAACACATCATTATTATCTCCCAAAGGTGTAGGGGGTGCAAATATTGTTGATCCACCGTTATCTCCATACGTACCAATTGACTTTGGCGATCTATAATACGCCGCGTTTCACCCATCATCTCTAGAAGATGTACCAGTCTAAAAAAAATAAAGCATAAAGCTCTGGACATGTAAAAAGTGCAAATATTAAAATAATTATATATATATATAATTATAACCATATTCCATTTATATATGCTTCACATGTATCACAATATTATTTGCAGTTCAACATGAGCATATATACCATTGTATAATTAATATTATTACGGACAGTGACATTAGACAAAAATAACCTAAAACTGGCTTTATTTTATATATAGAAATATCCCGCCAGTAAATATTATGGATACTTCCCTTCATTTTTTCCTGCAGTCACAAAATGCAAATTCTCAATACAAATTTTTAAAGGAATTTCTGATTTACCAAAAAAAAAAAAAAACGAATCAATTATTTATGCTGCTTTCAATTCATTTCAGTGATTTATACTCTTGAACTGCTTAATTGAAAAGCCAAAATAAATATATATATTTTAACTTTACAAGTATAAAGTTGTTGTTATTATTATTATTATTATTAAAGTTATATTAAGGGTATAAATTATACATTAGTACTTACAAATTATTGGAGTTCGATGCAAATAAAACTCGAATTCGGTTTGATTATTATCGAGTCGAGCTTAAACTCGAGTAGTTCAACTCATCGATTGAGCTGAATTCGAGTATTCTTATACCCAATTTGAGTAGCTCGCGAGTCTAGTTGAGCTTTTATATTTAAATATATTTTTATTATTTTAATAAATAAAATATTTTGAACCCAAGCTCGAACATAAATAATCAAATTTTTATCGAATATAAAAATCGAGTTTATTTTTACATATTAATCCAGCTTAATCAAATAAGTTCGAGTAATTCGATTTTTATCTCAAGTTGAGTTCGAATTAAAAAAATAAAACTCAATCGAATTCGAACCGAATTTTAAATCGATCTCAAACTTAATATTATATCAGTTCAAACTCGATCGATTGCACTCTTATTCTAAATGCCTATACATTATAGCAGTGTATTTAACGTCAAATTTGCAGTATTTTTCTATTGTCAAACTATGTTTCATAAGTACGCAAAATCATGGGACAAAATTAAATTAATATATTTTTTTTTCTTTTCTTGTATAAAAATTTTAGACCTGTTCATTTTATATTTGCATTATTTAATGTAACAAAATATAATAATAAGAGTAACTAAATATATATGAAAACTTTTATATTCTAAATTCATCAAAAATTAAAAAAATAATTTAAAATAATTGTCCATTTCAGAGAATAATAATTATATAACCCAAATGGTTCATTCACCTTTTGTAAAACTGAATTCTAGCGAAATTGTAATTCAATATTCAGAACTTACAAATTCTCTTTCTTATATTCTCCTTTACCTGTTGACCTCGTTTATACATAAATTGGTCAAATGAAGACAGGAAACAAAAGTTTTTTATTCCTCCGAAGCCAATTAGAGGAGTCCATATCTTCTTTCAATTGATTGAATACCCCGTAATTAGTTTATGTATTGTGAGTTATCTAAATTAATACGAAATATTGAAAGGAATTATAACAAATACCAATAATGTGATAAATTCTACTCTTTTATCAGACGCGGATCCATGTTTTAAACTAAAAATATTCATGGATACCTCCAAAATTTGAAAAATGAAAAAAAAAATTTAAAATTTTAATATTTAATATTTTTTCGTCGATAAAATTAATAAATTCGTTGATAATTTATATATTATAAATAGATATCTTTAAAAAAAAAATCATAATCCACCACTGTCTTTCAATTGTCAAAAATTCAAAAAAAAAAAAATGAGCAATTGGAGGCTGGTAGTAAATGTATATATAACATACCAATTACAGTAAGTGACAAGGCGGTTCGCCATTATTCCCTGGAATGTTGGTGCAGTGTGAAGGCTGGGAAGGAGGAACAGGACCTTTGCTAGTCACCACCACATCCTTCAAATATTGTCTTATTGCCAATGCTACATTAGTTGGATGTGGACTCGAAATCATCAACACTAAGATTATAACCTTCACCATTTTAACTACTGCTTTTGGGCTTCGGCTACTCATCATTTTCTGGGGATTTATTGCAGGTATGCTCGATCTTTGCCGATTGAAACCATCGATCCGAAGGCCTTATATAGTCGAAGCACATTTCAGCTGACTGGAGTTTTATGTATGCTATATTCTATTTGGAAATAAAGACTAGATCACCAACATTACTTATTTTTATATATGATATTATTCTATTTGGAAATAAAGACTACATCACCTACATTAATTATTATATCCAATTGGGAAAGAATAAATGAATCAATGTTTGTCAAAATGTTCCACTTTTTTCGGCCGTAGTGAAGTGAATATAGGAGACAGCTATATCATACCCTTGAAGTCAAATTTGATTTGAAATGCAAGCATGTCGTAGATTTCAATAACTTATAAGATATTATTCTTTTTTATTTATCGAGTATTATGATTTTATTTTAAAATTAATTTTAGAATAAGATTCACTGTTTTAGTAATAAGACATCCTTTTTTACTCTAAAATGAGTCAATGATCTTTGATATCAAATGTCACAATTTACATTAATTTATAAAATATGGTTCGCAATAATTTATTTGCTTGTAAAATTTTTTGCTTTTTATTAGTTATTTTCTATTGATAAAAAAAAAATTGAGAATAAAAAATATTACAGGTGTTAAATTTTGATTTTCATATCTAATAAATATTATATTTTAATAATAATTATATAAATTAACTAAATTTAACTTTTAATTCTATTCATAAAATATTTTATTTCCTCATTCGCATTAGTTAAACCTTAGTGCGCATCGAATTCCTTGATCAAGTCATCAGGGAATATTAGACAAGTTTTTCAAAACAAAAAGGGAATATTGGTAGAGTAAAACCATATAAACTTGTACTTCTTTGATTGGAGCCAAACCAAATTGTTTTTCTTTTTTACAAAATATTTTGGAATGTGAAAATTCGAATTTTATTACATGCTCATCCAATAATCGACCGTTGAAGTGTGGGATGACTAGTAATAATTAAACCATCACTAACTATATTATATCTTCATCACGCTTGCACATGTTCGATGGTATATTATTTCTTCATCACTCTGGGACATGTTCAATGGTAGGGATTTGAACATATAGTTTTTAAAATTTTTGAATTTCATGAATTCAAAGGACCAAACTGAATTTTGAGTAAAATTTTTCAAAAGCCAACTAGGCCTCGCTCAACCCGACCCAATTTATATCATCTCTCATTAATATATATATATATATATATATATTTATTTATTTATTTATTGAATAGAGATTCACTTATATTAATATAAAAATTATATATTTTTTTCTCTTTCAACCAAAATTAAAGTCATTACATTTACACTTAATCATTTTGATTCAAAAATAAAATATATATATAATTATATGTAACTCTTATATTAATATAAGTAAATCCCTCCTATATATATCACAGAGGAAGAAGTGTGTGCCATAGACGATGGCCAACTTAAGAAATTGATCTCTAAGCTTAATTTCTCTATGACAAGGAGTTAATCGTTACCAATAAAAAAAAATTCACAAAACTGAGCACGCCCTTCTTTGTGTTCCATTAGAATAAAAAAATAATAATCAGATATAAATTAGTAAAACTAAGCTTCAATGACTGTTGAACCCCATAAAATTTTTTTAAAAAAAATGTTATTAATGATTAATTTCTAAAAGAAATTAAATACTACAATAAATTAATCATAGTAAGATTTTAGAAGTGTACATAAATTAAATTAAAATATTTAGAATTAATATTATAAATGACCTCTAAATTAAAATAAAATATTTAATATGATACTTAAATTTTAAAAATTTTTAATGTGATATTTAAATTATGAATAATTTAACTAATATGATATTTATTTTTAACGTGATTAATTTTAAATGATAATACATTATGAAAAATAATATTCAAATATTATATTAATTAACAAATTTATAATTCAAATATCATATTAAAAATTTTTAAAATTTAAATACTTTATTCAACATTTTACTAATTTATAAACCCAAATATTTGGCAAGGTGGCAACTAGGTACCACAGGAACGCTTTAAATCTTTATTAAACTCAAGCATGCCCTCCCATTTGATGGGCCAAGCAATCAATTTATCTCACATCCCGTGTCCCAACCCACACCGAGTCAAATTTTAATGAAACTGTTGTTATTTAATTTATTTAAGAGATAAGCCAAAACTTTGAGCCCATAAAAAGCACACCAATATTAATATTAATATTAATATAATAAAATTTATTTTTATTATTTAATAATGAATATTTAATATAACATTAATACTATTTTTATAATAATCGTTTAATAGTGTGAACATTTTTAATCATTTCTTAATATTTTTAAATTTAAAATATATAGCACATATAATATAATAATGACAAATATTTTTATATTACTCTTTAATAATAAAATATAAATAAATAATATTTTTATGATTTAATAATAAATATTTTCAATATAAAAAATATTACTATCTTCATAGTATTAACAGTATATTTTAACATAAAATATTATTATTTTAATATTTCAATAATAAATATTTTTAAAGTTTTAATATTTAATAATTATCTCAATAATATTATTTAAAAAATAAAATTTTTCGAAAAATAAAAACTAAATGATAGAAAATATTTTTTTACTGAACCATCTAAGCAATAATAAAAATCTCTACTAAAAAATTCAACATTTTTCAAAATATAATTTATGGATACTGATTTTGACAAATCACACAGAACCTAAAATCTAATAAAGTTTCGTTAATCTTGCAAAGTTTAATTCAGGTTTAAAAACTTCATTGTCATGTAACATTTATACACAACAATCTCTTTTCCAAACCTTCTTAACATACATTCAAACAAATTCCGATAGGGGCGAACACCATTAGAACTTGAATTTTTACCATAAAACCAAACATTCTGCTCTCTAAAAATCCATTATGCTTGGCCAGCAGCCGCAAGGATTGTTAATAGAGTGTTAGATTCTTAATTCTAATGATTAGTATTCAAATTCTGACAACCTTAAATACTCAAAAGGAAATCCACTATGCTTGATGTTGTGTAACAACCAAAACGTTATCTTTAGAAGACTTTATGAAAGGTGCTCGGTCAAAAATTGGCACCCTTGACCTGTATGAAGAATACAAACTTGTCCATTTACAGTGTAAATATAGATAGTTAAACCTAGTAAATCAAATTTCAGGTATCTATAAATTCTGAAGATAGGACAGTCCTCATAAGCTCCTTCAAATTGGCTAGTACATGGCGAGGTCCTAAACTCTTGACACCAATGAAATTCAAAAGTTGCTCTAAATCCTGAAAACACAGGGAAGATATCTTTTAAAAAAAAAAAATCAAATCCAACAGTCATATGATCAGATAGTAGAGTGTTAGTACATGGCGAGGTCCTAAACTCTTGACACCAATGAAATTCAAAAGTTGCTCTAAATCCTGAAAACACAGGGAAGATATCTTTTTAAAAAAAAAAAAATCAAATCCAACAGTCATATGATCAGATAGTAGAGTGTTAGATTTTTAGCTCTGGTGATCAGGAATCAAATGCTGACAGCCTCAAATAACCAAAAAATAAAAGACAACTAAAATGTTGTGCATCTCAACGAACATTTTGCCAAAAGGAATTAAGTATAACTTAGAGCATCAGTAAAACAAACCCCTAAGCCCTTGCATATGAAAATGAATTTGCTTAAACATGCATTTGGACCCATTTTCGGTATGCTGGCCTTATGTGCTCAAGAGTAGATAATAGGTCACATCATAATTAAGACAAAAAAATTTAACATTAACATTTCAAGATCCTTCATAATAGATAATTATAAAGGTTAGTCTCATTCTGGCTAAACATCCACCCTTTCTCTACTTTGACCTTTTGCTCTGCCTTACAAACTACTTTCAACCTATGATATTTGGCCTTAAACATTTTCAGTCAAACATAACTTGACCAAATAAACAAGCAACTTAGACTGGTCTACCAATGATTGACTGAACTCCCTTCCATTTATTATACATAATTTAATTTTACCATATCACTGTTCAGATTTAATGCTTGCTATATTTGAAGTTGATTAATAAAATCATAATACTTCAATAGCTACTTACAATAAAATGGCAATTTCCTTCATTAAAAACATTGCACATAATTAGAACAGCATGAAGATTAACATCCATGATGTGCATGAATAGATTATTAGATATGATGGTAAAACAAGTAAACATGCACAGTAGTTTACACTTATTACACAAATGTAACAATTACAAGTGGATTGGGAGAGTATTTCCCATTTAAGAATTGGGAACAGAATATATTTTAAATGACAAAACAAAGATTAAAATTTTGAAGTGGCTATTCAAAGTGAAGGAAACATAAGGGGAGAAAGAGAAGGGACAAAAAATTGGAAACTCAAATATTTTGCCAGTGCCTTTCCTAATTAGCCTTCTGATAATTAAGTCGGGCAGGAGATTTTGAGTGTTAGATCTCCTTAAGGATGTAAGGTGTGAGTATCATCATGGTTTTTCCTAATTAGTTGATAATCCGATATCCAACATTTAAGAATAAGTACTAAGCAAATTAACATGCATGATGTGCAAGAATTAGATTATTAGATCCAACAGTAAACTTAGTAAAAGATAAACCATATAGAAAGTTAGAAAGCAGTCTATACTTATTACAATAATGAAAGCTGATTGGACGAGAGCATTTCTTCTCAAGGAATTAGCAAGTAAGGCATTATAAATACAAGAAAACAAAAGAATAAACTTCTGGAAAGAATTTTCAAAGTAGGGACACAAGGGAAGAGAAAGACAAGGGGACAAAAACTGGAAAGACAAAAGTTTGGTCACTACCTTCTCTATTAGATTTTTAGTTGAGTTATGGGGAATATGATTTGAGTGCTAGACCTTTTAAATGTAGGGTGTGGCTATCCTAAATATTTTTCAAATTTGTTGGTAATCCTTCATCTCATCTCATATTTAAAAATAAGGATATGCGACACTCTAATGTGGCTGGTGAAGTTTATAGATAACCTTAAGAATCTATCCCAAGAAACTGAAAGCAAGTAAATCCAATATCTACTGAATAATTCAATCACAACATAATATGAGTTGTAAAGGCTGAAGGCCAAACATGCACTCATTTTCCAAACTGTGGATGAAGAGCATCTTATATTAAAAGTAAAGGACAAGCCAACTTTGCAAAGGTTTGAATCCAATAACATACATAAAAAATGCAAAAGGAGAATAATTCACCAAAAAAATGACAGTATATGAAAACTCACCTTGTTCAACAAGAATACCGCATATGCTGCTCTTGTTGTGTCTTGACCTTCTAAAAACAACGGAAATTCTGCAGACTTTACATTTGCAGAAAGCGCAGCATTCCAAGACAAATCAGAAGAAGTGGGCTCTATTGAAGGCGCATGGTCATTAATATATGAGCGGGAACCACCCAAGTGCAGAGGATATCGCAAGGGAACTTGTAAATAGGATGCAATTAGTGAAACTGCCTGCAAAAGAGGGAATAGGGTGAAACAAGAAAGAATAATTAGGTATTGCCTCAACAAGAGAAACAAGCTATCAAGACTCTGCCCAAGATACTATATTTCGATCCTCGCAATATAAAAAAACTACAGCATCTTTAAGCAACAAGGATCGCATGTGGTGGACAAAACTTGATGCCTACAGCTTGATCTTATCAAAAAACAAATTCAGTAATAAAAGTATAACTTCATATTAAGCAAAGAAATAGAACACACATGTGCAACATATCCTAAAGCAGTTGCAGATCTCTGAACCTCCTTTTTGTCAGTGAAAAAACTCATCTTTGTAAAGGGAAGCATGGTGAGATGCAGACCTAAAATCGTCAAGGATCCTTGATTAATGGGCTTAGATGCAGAAGTATTCCCTGGTGAAGACAACAATAAAAGGAACTTAGCATCAACTCGTGGCAGGCAGCAGCACTTTGTGGAAGTCAAAATAATATTCAATATAATATAACCATGAAAGCAAAAGATATCGAAAACTGTATAATATCCAGAGCATAAAAAATAAAAAAAAAAAAAGATTTGATATGCAAACAGAATTAAATAAAAAAAATTGCTAAAAAAGTAATAATAGAAGTACATGTGAAGTATACAACCATTATAATTGAAAGAAGGGAGAAGGGGTGGGTAATTGTAACCCTTAAGCTGTTTAGGAACCATACAAGACTCAGCTGGATGACAAAATCTTAAATAATTCATTTTGTTCTCCCCTAGTAAAACATTATATTACAGCAACCATATTTGAAACCAAAAGGATATGCAGCTCCATGCATGCCCATTTATAGAGATTTTCCATCATGTTGCAAGATGGAACTCTTTGAGAGAAAGATGAGCTTGGGCTAAAATTCAATGATCACCAAGGAAAAACCACAAACCATTTTGAACATCCAAAATCTCAAGCACAAAAATGAGGTACGAAATGTAACAAGCATCATTCTCAATAATATATGGAGGAGGATAACATTAATTAAGAATACCACAGTAAATCATGAATTAAATTAAACAGAAATGAAATATTGTTTACTTCGAAATTAACTGCCCATTCAAACCATATATTGGGCTTTATTGCAAACGATTTAGTAGCCAAAAACTACTAGCACATTACCTAGTCTGCTACTGCCTGGATAGGATTCAAGTTCTTGCTCTTGTGCGGGTCCAACCAAGATCTTTACAGGATAGAGAAATGAAACTTGTGATATCATATATTGCTGCCTTGCTCGAAGCTTCCTCTGCACGTTTTTGAGTTTAATATAACCCCTTTCTTCAGTGAGTAATCTATTTGATACCTGTAATAAAAACATCAGATCATCAATCATGTCATGTATGAAATACTACTGAACAATTACATGAAAAAGGAGGGAAAGAAATGGGAAAGCAAGAAGGGGATAATCCATGACTACTCAAAGGAATTTATAGAATGACAATCCTTTCCTTCTAATCCCCTCATCCACCTACACCTGGGGGTTGAGGGGGGAGAGGGAGAGAGAGAGAGAGAGAGACTTCTTGCATACGAGGCAAGAATATCTAACATCTAAAGCTGAATAAGCAGAAACCTTCTAGAAAATTATAAATTCAACCTTCCTCAAACCATCAAATGAAATTCCAAAGATAACTGACATTTTAAGTAAAAATGAAAATAATTTACCTGCAACCGTTTCCTTGCTACAGAAAGAGAGGTACCAGCAACCAACAATGATCTAACTTCAGTACTAAGCATTTCCTCCTGTTTTTTAGCATCCTCTGTTGCAACATTGCAACGAGTTGACATGCTTTCCATCACCACTTTTTTAGCCTCTAGTCTGTCACGTATTTCCTCAAGCTCATTTAGTTGATTCAATGACTCAGTTTTGACCTGCGCAGCATGTTCCCACCCGATAATCAGCGGGCCAATTACTTAGGCTGAAGATATCCCAATGAGAGAGAGGGAGGAAGGATGGAGGGAGGGAGAAAGAGAGAGAACAAGAAGAAGGTAAAGAAGGCGTTGCACACTAAACAATATCAAATTATAAACTCCATCCAGTCCTTCAAGAGTGATATTGCTTTATCAATTCAACTCTACCTATCTCCTAAACTTAAAATGAAAAGAGAAAAATGCAAACACAATTCTTGAACCGCTTTTCAATGGCATGTTTAAATTACAATACAAAACAATTTAAGGGACCTAAAAAAACAGAAAAGTGGAAAGAAAAAAGAACTTGAAAGGGGAGACATGAAACAATTATCTTCTCTTTTTCCTAGTAAAGCTTAACTGACAATTCTTTCTAATAGTCTTGCTGAAGCATTTGAGCAATGACTGGATTTACCAATTTCACCACCTATACTGCCTAACCTATTTAATAATTTACGTGCAGACACCAGAATTATATTTTCTTTCTGCTCTAGGACTAAGAGGCGATCAGTATCAAACATAGCTAATAAAAGTTCATTGGCAAACATTATATACTGAAAAACTATAACTTTATCCTACTATCTTTCAAAATAACAACATAGAGCATAAACCTAAATTTATTGCATATTATGGTTCGTCTCCTACAAATCCCAAGAAAATTTACTCGAAATTACTACAGTTAGAATCCACAAAAACTCTAAACTTTTCTTTTAATAGTTTTCATCCAATTATCCCAATTATTTTAGGAACTTCACACGTCCTATGCTATATCCCTTTTCCTTATTTCTAAATTAGGACAAAATCAACATAAAAACAGGATTACTACTCCAAATTTCTAAAAATTTAGTAATGCCCTTTTTATCTTTTCACTCAAGCCACTACCAGCCAACCAACAAACAAAATCCCAAATTTCCTTTCCCATCAAAACCATTTTTTTCTCTTTAAATTTGGGTTATAAACAAAAAGCTAAAACCAAATTTATAAAAGCAACATACTTTAAATAATAATAATAATAATAATAATAATAAGAATAATAATAACCAAATTTTAATCAGAAAAAGCCTTACCTGAACAAAAGACTGAAGCTTTTCTTGAAGACTTTGCTTCTTCTTATTAGCTTCTTTTAGGGCAGAAGTTAGACTACACAATCTAGCAAGCTCATGCTCGAAATCTTCCCATTCAATTACTTTCACATGTTCTTGTGCTGCATTAATTTGCTTCGGGTCGGTAATTAGGGCTTTGTCTCGGTCCTGTTGTTCTCGATTTTCCATAGAAGAATTGAAGAGGAAAGCTTTTGACTTTGTAAGTTTAAGAAGAGGTCATAGGTCGACCTCATCGTACTGGGCGTCGCCCGGTTAGAGTGTTTTCTGTTTTTTCACGACGATCGAATCATTTTCTCGGAAAATTTGATAGAAAGGGGTAATTTTCTCGGGAAAATGCTGGAGGGTTACCGAAAATTTTTGGGTGGTTTTATTGGGCGAAGGTCAACGGTTTGACGGAAGAATGACAGGTGGCGGTAAACGAAAATTTTTCCTTATTAAATATCATTTTGGGATGGAGAAACTACACTATAAAATTAGTAAGATCTATACTACTCTATAAAAAGCATCCCAAAGAAGGATTATGGAGTTGTCATGTATCCGATCTCTTTAGATTTGGTTTTTCACGATTTATTCCCCTCTGGAATAGGTTTGGTTTGTTTTGGTTTTTACGTTTTCTTTTTTTTTTTTTTTCTTTGGTGGTTTCTTCATTTTTTTATCAGACATTGTTTTCCTTGTCTTATCATCCACCGTGGGAGGAGGAATGGGGCAAAACTCAAAAATTGCTCAAGAATTTGGAAAAGCAAAAACTTGCTGCTAAAGGCATTCCAAAGTTTATCTTTTTTTTTTCTATCTCTTATTTATCTTGATTTTTTTTTTTTGAAACTTCTCTTTTTATTAAATTTATTTTTAGAAATTTTGTTTTGTTTTATTTTTGTTTTGATAGAGTCTACAAGAAGCCATAACTATCCAAATAATATCTTTGCAAGCTCGGCTCTCATTTATTTGTTAAATTTAATATTATCTTTACTTTCTAAAATAGTTTCTTTTTGTTTTTGAGTTTGGTTTTAAAAAAAAGTTCATTTGCTCTCTTTGCATAGCTGCAAAGGATGATACCTCTTTATTTTTTTTCTTATTTGAATAAACTATAAGATTCTATTTTGTAGCTACGGAGTGTTTCATGCCATGTTTTCTTTTTGTTTTTTACCCATGGTGCCTATAAGGCTATGAGTTCTTTGTTTGTTTAAAAATTTCAAGTTTTTTTTCAATGAATGTGTTTCTCTTTTGATAGGTGACAAAATTTTTTAGTTTTTTATTTTTGATGATTTTTCTTGGATCAAAGATTTGTTGTTTTTATTACTTTTTGTTGTATTTGTATATTTAGTATAAAATTGTTCGGGTGATTTTTTTTTTTTTTGTATGTTATTGAAAAGAGTTTTGTTTTAATTTGGTGAGTTTTTTTTTATAGGAATTGTTAAAGGTTTAAGAAAGACAAAATGGAGTATGAATGGAAGTGGTAGTGCCATTGTTAGCATCCAAAACTCTTTTCTCTCTCTGTTTCTTATAATTTTCCTAAAAAGTGAATGAAAAAAATCGACAAAAAGTGACAGAAAAAAAAAAAAAGGAAAATGCTCCAACAGAGCTCAAATGTTATGTTTTCAAGTTCTATAATGAAATCAGTCTTTGCTTTCATACCATTTCACTTTCATTCTCTGCCACCAACACCTCTCTCACTTGGTTATTCTCTATGGCCACAACCGTCGACGGCCATCACCACCACAAGCTTAAACTCTACCACACTTCTCTTAAATTCCCAAGCTCTCCAATCCCATCCTTACTTTCCTTATCTCATGTGACTCTTATAAGACCACCTTCTTTCAAGTTTTTTCTTTTTTGTTTTGTAATTTATTATTCAATTTTTAACTCATTTTTCTTACATTTGTGTTTCTAATGAAATGAATGAATATAAATTTTGGGTTTTTTTTATTGTAAATTATTTATGTTCAAAAGGTTTTTTTTTTTCATTATGTAAGACTAAAGTTGATTTCTTTGACCAAGAACTTACTTTTTTTTTTTTATGTAGAAAGGATGATGATTGCCCAGTTTATGGACTATTCGAAATGGATGCTGGTGTATTAGTAGAAAGCCAATTAGATCGTATGTTGTGCCAAACAATTTCCAAATTGGCCATTAAGGTCATGGTTTTAGACCCTTCAAAGAATTGCTCGGCTAGTGCCATTGCTTATGATCACATGGTTAAAAGCTTTGATGATGTGCTATTGTTCAAGAATTCGTAAAAAGGTCCAAATTTGATACTAAATTTATTGTCTTTGTTTGTTGGAAATGAAGTATTTACATTTATAATCTATTTCTCGGACATTAGTTTTAAGAGGATTCAAAACAAGGTTTAAAAAGCTACCAATTTGGTCCATTTGCTCCTGTAAACTTGATTAAGATTGGTAATTTTGAGAACAATGTGAAAACGGGTTCATGATTGGAAGAGTCTTGCTTCCACGTTCCATCCTCAATATCATAATCAAGGTAATGTATATTTTAATGCTATATTATATGTATAAGTGGAATGGTAAAAGTACTTTTTGTTTAACTACTAATGCAATGAAAAATTGATTAGCCTCAATAGTAGTAATAACCAAATAAGTTACATATATAGATTTTAGTAGGAAAATGGTTTCCATAAAGAATATTATAGTATATTGGGATGCTCATTTTATAAAAGTATAAAATAAAAGAATTATGAACTGAAAGATATTCATACATTTCTTGAATGACTTATTAGTTTTAAAAGAAAAAAAATAAAGCTTATTTAATTCCTTAACTGCTATACTAATTATCTATTGTAATTGGTGTGGCAAAAAATTGTCAAATGGACCAAGGATATCTTGCATGCTTGACTTAAAAGTAGTTATCATTTATTGATACATTTATTTCTTCTCTTATGTGAGAAAACATTATCTCACATTTATCAAGACATTTGCCTCTAGAACCATTATTCCTAAGTTTTATATATGTCCTCTAAAAGGAAATCTTTATACCCTTATGTTCTAATGGCTATGGTAATGTGAATGAACATCTTGCATGTCTGTCTTTAAGCCTGGAAACGATTTGTTCCTTACCTCTCTTTAAGGCTAACTTTAGTTACAAGAACCAATAGACTGGATATAACTAGAATAGATTGGACTGGTCTTGTGGAGGAAATTGTGACTCTACCACTTGGTATTAAGCCTTTGGTATTGTGGTTACCTGAACAATCTAAAAATGGACCCAATAACTTAGTGCCCATAGTGGCAGTTGTTCTGTTAGTTCATGTAAAATTTTGGTCAATAAAAATTTAAAACCAACTGCTTGAGGTATAAATTTTATTTGGTTAATTACTTTTTACTTTTGGCCTGTTCAGTACTTTTATCAATTTTTATGGTATTAGAACCTTTGTGTGCTGTATCATCTATAAACCTGATGTGACATACATAATTGTTGGTAATAAGGTATGTTTTATTATCTTGTGTGACTTGGAGCACTATAACACATCTGTGATCTGAAAAATTTTACGTGTGCTAGACTCTGAGTCATTATTACAGTAATTTCTGTTACATTTTTCATCATGTTAATAAATTATTTTTTTCATTGATCTTATTTTGTTTTATTTTATCATAGGATGATAAATTAAAAGTATTGCATGTTTGAAAATTTAATCTTATTCATATATGTAAATCCAATTACGTGGTATTGTTAAGTTCATACCAATTTGCTCTCTTCTCCTTTGTTAGTTTCAATCACCCTTCAAAACGAAGGGTTTGGAAAACATATTGATATTTGTATCAGTCCTTTGATAATAGTAAAATATGATTTAGTAATCTTTTTAATTACAAGTATATATAAATCTACTTATTTTATTTCTTTAACATCAATTTACTATAAAATTATTTTGTCCCAAAACGAAGTGAAGTTAGCTTCCTGGTACATATTAATTGAAACTTATATAAACATTTATAATTTGTTTAACTTCAAAAAAAACATTTATAATTTGTTTTTATGTACAAATTAATATAAAATTTTTTATTTTTTAAAGTTAATGAAAAATTAAAACTTTAAGATAAAGTAAGTGTAGCTTTAAATTTTTTATTTATTATTAAATAAATTCATTTAGTAAAAGTAAAATTAAAAATTTTACTTATGAATTAAAAAATTTTATTACAAATAAAAATATTTAAAATAATAAATTGAAAATATAATCGAATAGCAACGTTTATTTTAATCAATTTAAAATTTTTTTCATATCCATGTTTTTATACATGTTAGATTAATGCCTTCACTTCATCTAGTTAAAAATATTTATAAATTTTTTTGTTTAATTAAATTTAAAATATGATTTTAAATTAAATTATATTAAAATTTTAATAATTTTATTATATATATATATATTTAAATATATGTATTGATATTGGTATAATCATGTTTTATCAATTATGAAATTAAATATATAAAAATTAATTATTTATAAATTACATAATAACAATGCATTTGAAAATTATTTTATATGCATTTTTAAAAAATATATTTATATTTTATTTTATATCTTAATATATATTTTTATTTATGGTATAAAAATATATTCATTTTTATGTTATTAAATTCTTTTAACAAAAAAGGGTTTTTCTAAATAGTTTTTTATCATTTAATTTATTTAATAAATTATTATATTTAGTTTTTATTCTTACCCTTTTATTTAAAAAGTAATTGATAAATTTAATTCATGTAAAAGAATTAAATAACCAAAAAAAGGGCTTGTAATTATTTATTAGCTTTTAGATTTAGTCTAAATTTTTTAAATATAAATAATAAATATAAAAAAGTTTAAAGCATTACTCATAAATAGATGAATCCATTTTTTAAAAAGTTTGGTCTTAAATCCCAAATCCATTAATTTTCTTCAAATGGATTAGTTTTATAAAATTTTTCAAAACTCTAATCCAAAAATCATACTCAAATTTTTTTTTTTGAAATTCTTTATGACAAAATGATTATTTTAAATATTAAACAATTATTAATTATTTATATTTTTGGAGTTGCTTAGTCACGTCCTAGCTTTATTTTGACTTTTAAGAGTTGGTGGTTTCTCAAATGTCTTACATTGTAGTTGATTGCAGTAGTTAATTTACTCTTTTAGCCTTCATCAATTAGTGACGTGGAAAAGGAGTATTCGATTACAGACAAAGATATCGATGCAATTCATTATGCAAAGTTATAAATACAAAGTAAATGAGTTACCTATTTCATCGATCTTTTCCTCATTCTAATTTTGGAGCTAACTCCAATAATTTCTTTCATAATGTCTATATATTCCCATTTTATCGATAACATAGCCCAAAGTTGAAATTTAATTTGAAGAGTTAAAAAACCCTAAAGCCTTAACTATCCAACAATAATAAATTTAATGGAATTTGAGATTCAACAAAAATAAAAGAAAAAATATAAATTTCATCTAAATGAATAAAAAAATAATGATTTAACAGTGGATTGAAGCAAATTGAAATTTAAGGATAACTTTTATATATTGTTATTGATTTTACCAAAATAATTATAGATTATAAACTTCAAGAATAAAGAAAGAAATGTTGAGAAATTATTTTTGAATTAATGAAACAAAAATAATTTTTTTATTCATAGATAAGAGATAAGACAGGTGTAGGATCATAAATTATAGAAGATAATTTAAAAGATGTTTCAGAATTAAAAGGGTTAACCTTTTATAGTTAAATATAATAGCATTTAATAAAATTGATGTGGCATTTGAAATGAATAGTAAAATTGATGAGTTGGCATGAAATTGAAGAAAAATTGAAGAAATGATAACTTTTATATATTGTATAGATTATAGATTGAAAATATATAAATTAATGTTTAAAAAATTTTATTATTTTAAAAAATTAAATGAAATAATCTGAATTTTGAGTTATATTTTCATTTTTAAAATTAATTAATTTAATTAAAATTCTAAATAAATTATTATATACATCATACATGTTAGCTTTTTTTTTTTTTCACATTTGAATATATTTTCTTATTTGTTTTTAGAAATTACATAAATTGAACAATATAATTCAATTAGTTGTAGACAAATTCATCAATTCCAATTAAACAGATTATTTTGTCTTGGGAGCGACTAAATACATCTTACTTTTTTTTTTTTTACATATATATTTTAATTTTTTAAGTGAAATTATTTAAATATTTTCTCATAAGTATTTAGATATTCATATCTAATAAATTTTGTGATTTTTTAGATATACATTTCTAAAAAGTGTTTTGACTTTTCAAAAATTAATAATAAATTTATGTTTATTATTTTAATTTTAGAGAAAAAATCAAGATCTTATGAGAGCCTAATTAAATTTAGACTTAATAATTTTAGACACAATAGGGTAATATGATATGAAAATAATATGAAAAAATTGTATATATATTTTAAAAAAAATTGTTTTGTGTTTATTTATATCGATATAAATTTTAACACGATATAATTTGTATCTTATATGTGTTGATACGTCTAAACACGTGACACGACATAAATAATACGTTTAATTTAATCTTACTATACAAGTATAAGTTTAACATGTTTAATACATTTAACACATTTTTATATTTATTTTAATTTAATATAAACAAGTAAAAATTATTTTAATTTTTAATTTTTTTAATTATGGTGCTTAATTAGCAATTTGATATAGTATAAAAATTATTTTAAACATTTAATTATAATACTCATTTAATAATTATTATAAATTATTTTTTATATTAATAACAGGAATACAATATAAATATTAAAATCAGTCCTATACATTATTATTTTATATTTTAATATTTAATAGTTTATCATTTTGAATTTGATACTAAAAATTAATATAATTATGTAATATATATAAATTAAATACATATTAAATGGGTATTAAAATTTTTATTTTTTTAGTATATAAATATTTTTTTATATTATTAATATGCCAAGTTTATGAAGTTATAAATGATTGATAATTTATAATTATTTATTATATTAATCGTGTTTTCGTATTATTTATATTAATCATTTTTATTTGTATATATCCATATTAGTCATGTTTATTTGTGTATATTTGTATTATTTGTTTTATATTTAAATTGATTAATTGTATACATGTTAATTACATCATGTCATATGTAACACTTATAATAAACGTGTCGTACTATGTGTAACACATATAATAAATATGTCATATTCATATTTAAGATTTAAACACATTTTATAATTTATGTCGTATTTATATTTCAATAATTCGTATCATTATATATGTCAAATATGAACGAAATACGATACAAAAATATGAATTGTCAGATTTAATTAAATTAAAAATATAATAATAAATATAATTTTTTTATAAATTTCAATTTTATCATTTTTAATAAATATTTTTTATATTGATTATTAAAATTTTATAATAGTTTTAACTAAACTAAATTTTTTGGAGAATTCTCTTAATTTACTTATAACTATAGGTTTCTCTAATTAACATTTTAAATTTTAAAAATATTATGTAATATTTAATAATATTACTTATAAGTAGTTTTCAGCTTTTATATTAGGATCAAATTTAATAGTTTGTTTCATCATTTTTCACAACATCAATAAATGAAATATTTAATTAAGATTTCATAAAATTTTATTCTTTCTTTAACTATCAAAATAATAAAAATAAAATTTTTTATTAATTTTAAATTTTTTAATTTTTTAATAATAATTTTTTTCATTACATTAAGTTATAAAAATTTTAATAAAATTTATTTTTTATAATTAAAAAATTTTTAAATCATAAAATTTAGTGGAAATGAATATCCATACATTTGTAAAAAAGATAATAATTTTACTTATAAAAAATTTTAAAAAAAATGCAAAGAAAAAGAAACGGTTGCATTTAGATTTTTCCTTTTGGCTTTATCTCATATAATCTGTTTAATAAATAAATAAATAAATTTTTTGAGTTCGTTTCTTTTTCGTCTTTTTTTTTTTTTTTTTTCCCTTTCTGAATCAAATCCAATACCTTTAGTCGCTACCCAGGCTAAAAATTTTCTCAGTCGGTGCATAAATAATTTTATCTGGACTAGGATCTAGATACTCTGCCTTGCCAAACACGTCCTTAGATAAAATTTTCACCTTTCCTCACCAACAGGCAACAAAAAGACCCCAAAGCGTATGCTTTTTTTTTTTTTTTTTTCTTTTCATGTATCTATAGATTCGTAGATTCAGAGAAGAGTCAAGAATCTGAAGAGCTTTGATCAATCAATCCATCGATGGCGGGGGTCTCTTTGAAGTGTGGGGACTGTGGGGCACTGTTGAAGTCAGTGGAGGAAGCCCAAGAACATGCCGAGCTCACCTCCCATTCCAACTTCTCTGAATCAACTGAAGCTGTTCTCAATCTTGTTTGCTCCGCTTGTGGCAAACCATGCCGATCCAAAACAGTATAACATTACTTTCAGTTACTCTTATAGGGGTTTTATTTCAAAGATTGTTATTAGTATAATTTTTACTGATTTGGGTTTAAATTGGAGTGTTGATATTGTATTGAATTGGGTTTGCTTTGAAAGATTTTACTTTTTTGTTGAATTGGGTTTAATTTGAATCTGTTGCTTTTCTATTGAATTGAGTTGAAATTGAAAGTATTGCTTTTGCATTGAATTGGGTTTAACTTGAAAGTTTTACTTTTTAGTTGAAGTGGGTTTAACTTGAAAGTCGTGCTTTTGTGCTAGATTGATTTTAATGTAAAATTTTTTCTTTTGTGCTGAATTGGGTTTAGTCTGAAAACTTTGCTTTTGCATTGAATTGGGTCTTTAAGGACTTGGCATTTGTTGGATTAAGGGAAAGTTGAAAGTTTTGTTGTTAGAATGTGGATTTTTGTGCTAAAGACTTTGGTAAATCTTTGGGGCTCTAGTAGTGTGGAAGTTGCCATCATTATATAGTGTTAACTTGAAAGGTTTTTGAATGAACTGGATTTCACAGGATTTGAGGTTAAATCTACATGTTGATCTTTTAAGGTAAATTTTTTTTGTTTTGAAAACAAAATCTCAAATGGCTTACAACTCTATGATACCTTTTTTCTTGAAAATAAAATAGTGCAACTGAATTTGCATTTTGTCATTAGTGAGGCTTTGCTTCTGTTTCATCTTGAAGGAAAGTGATTTGCATACAAAAAGAACAGGGCATACTGAGTTTGTGGATAGGACTCTGGAGGCAGCAAAACCTATCAGTTTGGAGGTTCCTAATGTAGCTAAAGGCACAGAGGAAGTTGTTGGTGAAGGCAGCACCTGCCAGTCTGAAGGTACATTTGCAATTGGAGCTTATTTAGAATGTTAAGGAGCAGTTGTTTTTGTCAATTTTCTCATTTTATGAAGATTCATTTAGAATTAAGTTTACTTTAGAGCGTAAAGAGTGGTTGTTTTGAATGATTCTATTCTTGTACAAAATAATTTTTGGGTTTAATTCTTTGGTGGGGATCCTTGTTTTGTTACATGGTCTCATAGCTTTTGGCCTTTGGGATGTGTTCTCTCCATTTCATGCGTTTTGTTGATTTTTTATTATAATTTGATATGCCTTTGTAATGGCTATGATACCTAGAGCATTATTTGCCAAGCTCTGTATTGATGACATAATTGCTTTTTCTTTTCTTTTTTTTTTTTCTTCGGATAATTGATGAAGATGTTATTCTTGATTCTACTTGGGGGGGAGGGGATTTTACTGTAACTTTTGCTGCCAAATGCTGCTGGGTGTTAGCATCTGGAATAAGTTAATGGTTCTAGATGATTCTATGTTTTCCCCATGAAGGTTTTACCTTCTAAGAACCCAGTAAAGTTGACTGGACAGTAGCTACTGTGGGAAAACATTTAGTTACAAGTGGTTGTATTTTGTAATCTGTTGATTGTAATCTGTATATATCTGTATCCCTAAAATTGAGAATTTGTATCTCTAGAATTAACGACAGAATATCAGGATAGATAATTCCTTGATTATAGGGATTAGATTTAGGAATATTTAGTTTCCTAGTTTACTCTCTAGTTAGTTGTATTTAAATCTATGGTGTTTGTATGATTCGTAACAAAAGTTTTCAATATACTCTCATTTTTTCCACAACTCTCATTTTTTCCACATGGTATCAGAGCTTTAGACTCTTCTTGGGAAGAAAATTTCTCAGCCTTCATTGCTGAATTTTTTTTTTAGGCCTTCATAGCCAAATTCTGTTAAGTTCTGTCATACTTTTACTTTGTTCCTTTTTGGCCTTCATTGCCTATACTTGTTTCAGTCCTGAGAAAGGTAATCATGTCAAAAATAGCAGATTCTGCCGCTACTACTCGATTTGGAGAAGTAACAACTGGTCAAACCACAGCGGAACTACAGAATATCCAAGCTGCATACAGGTTGAATGGAAAGAACTACTTGAAGTGGTCTCAGTTGGTTCAAACCTTTCTAAAAGGGAAAGGAAAATTGAGCCATCTTCTTGGCACTGGTCCTGAGAAAGGAGATCAAAAATTTGAGGCTTGGGATGAAGAGGATTCTATGGTTATGTCATGGCTGTGGAATTCTATGACGCCAGATATTAGTGACACTTGTATGCTTTTGTCCACGGCCAAAGACATTTGGGAATCAATTCGTCAAACCTATTCCAAAGTTAAAGATGCTGCTCAAGTCTATGAGGTCAAGATCAAGACTGCAGCTCTCAAACAAGGGAATAAGTCAGTCACAGAGTATGCTATTCTTCTTAAAAATCTTTGGCAAGAGATGGATCACTATCGGTGCATAGAAATGAAGTGCAGTGAAGATGCAACAACTTTGAAGAAATTTATTGAAAAAGATCGAGTCTATGATTTTCTTGCTGGACTGAATGTTGAGTTTGATCAAGTCAGAGTCCAAATTCTGGGAAAACAGGATCTGCCTTCTTTAAATGAAGTGATTTCCATGGTTAGAGCAGAAGAGAGCAGAAGAGGAGTGATGCTTGACAGTGTGCATGTAGAAGGATCTGCTATGGTCTCTAATGGTGGGAAGAACCAAAGCTTAGAACAATTACCAATCAGTGAGAATGGGAAAGGTGATTCGGCTAAAACTTCAAATCACGACAATCTTTGGTGCACCTATTGTAAAAAGCCAAGGCACACCAGAGATCGTTGCTGGAAACTACATGGAAAACCTTCAACTTCAAGCAAAGAATGGGGTTATAAAGGAGGACAGCCAAGAAATCAAAGACAAGCTCACACGACTGCAATGGAGTTAAACCAGGAGAAGTTTCAGGAACAAGGAGAGTTGGATAAAAAAGAGATTGAGAAACTGAGAAGCCTATTGGGAACTCTTGAAAAGGCTACTGGTGTATGCTCCTTGGCACACTCAAGTAAGGACTCTGGTGCAGGTAAAGTCTCTAATTCTCATGGATTAAATGTCTCAGATAAGTGCATTAAGAGTTCTTGGGTCATTGACTCAGGAGCCACAGACCACATGACACATTCTTCACAAAAGTTTAGTACATATACCCTATGTCCTGGTACTAAGAAAATTACTGTTGCAGATGGTTCACTTACTATAGTGGCAAGATTAGGAGATGTTCAAATTAATCCCTCATTCATTCTTAAAAATGTTTTTCATGTTCCTAGATTGTCTACTAATCTGATATCTATACAAAGACTTACTAGAGACATGAACTGCAATGTGACTTTTTATCCCTCTTACTGTGAATTTTAGGACCAGGGTTCGGGGAAGAGGATTGGACTTGCTAAGGAAAAGGATGGACTATACTATCTTGAGACATCCAACAACATAAGTAATATCAAGAATAGTTTACCTTTGTCATTTCTTTCTGAACAATCTTCCAATAAAGACAAAATCTGGCTTTATCATTTTCATCTTGGACACCCTTTTTTTGGAACTTTGAAAAACATGTTTTCTTCTTTGTTCAAAGGATTAAACATTGAAGAGTTTCATTGTGATGTTTGTGAACTTGCAAAACACAGACGTATATCTTTTTCAATTAGTAACAAAAGAAGTTCTACTCCCTTTTACTTGATTCATAGTGACATTTGGGGTCCCTCTACAGTTCCTAATATTTCTGGGGCAAGATGGTTTGTGTCATTCATAGATGATTGTACTAGGGTTTCTTGGGTTTTTTTACTTAAATCCAAATCAGATGTGAATAATGTGTTTTTAAGCTTCCAAAACATGATCCAAAATCAATTTGGAGTGAGAATCAAGAGATTTTGGTTTGATAATGCAAGAGACTATTTCAACCAGAGTCTATCCACCTATTTCCAAAATGAGAGGATTATCCATGAGTCATCTTGTGTTAATACTCCACAGCAAAATGGAGTGGCAGAGAGAAAAAACAGCCATTTACTAGCCACAACCCGAGCCTTCCTTTTTCAAGCAAATGTGCCCAAATCTTACTGGGGGGAAGCTGTTCTCACTGCTACACACATTATAAATAAGTTACCTTCAAGGGTTTTGGGATTTAAAACTCCTATAGAACTACTCTCACAATTCTATCCCAACCTTAATACCACAAACAACCTCACACCTAGGATATTCGGTTGTACATCATTTGTTCATGTTCACAGTCATAATAGGGGAAAGTTGGATCCGAGAGCAATTAGGTGTATCTTTGTGGGGTATTCATCAACTCAGAAAGGGTATAAATGCTATCATCATCCTACCAAAAAGTTCTATGTGTCTGCAGATGTCACTTTTGAAGAAAGTAAACCATTTTTTACTCAACCTTATCTTCAGAGGGAGACATCATTTATAAAAGATAAGGATAAAGACTTCTTTTTGCTTGACTTTTCATCCTCCTCCAAAACAGTTTCACCCATTAATTCTTTTGAGCCTAAACCCATTTCTTCAGAGTCCAAGTCAAACACTGATTCTAAATCTGAACTCATTCCAAACATAGAAGTTGTGACTAAGGATAATACTATTCTTGATTCTGTGAAAGAATTACAGGTGTACTCAAGAAAGAAAGTTTCAGTTCTTGAACCAGTGTAAATCCAAGAACCTGATCCTAACTCTGGAAATGAGGTAATTACAGTCTCTGATTCTATTTCTCAAAATGAGCATGACTCTCCTAAAATTAGTGATTATGATCTACCTATTGCCATTAGGAAAGGAACTAGAGAATGTACTAAACATCCATTATACCCAATCTCTAATTTTGTGTCATTTGAAAAGTTTTCACCATCCTATAAGAATTTTCTTGTGAGCCTAAATACTATTTCTATTAGGCATTATCTAATGAGAAATGGAGGTAGGCGATGAAAATAGAAATGGAGGCCTTAGAGAAAAATAAGACATGGGAACTGGTAGAGTTGCCTGCAGGAAAACATCCAGTTGGGTGTAAATGGGTTTTCACTGTAAAGTATAGGCATATGGTACTATTGAAAGATACAAGGCCAGGCTGGTGGCTAAGGGCTACACTCAAACTTATGGAGTGGATTGTCAGGAAACGTTTGCTCCAGTTGCCAAGATGAATACAGTTAGGATTTTATTATCCTTGGCAGCAAATTACAATTGGCAGCTTCAACAATTTGATGTAAATAATGCCTTTTTACATGGTGATTTGGAAGAAGAAATATATATGAAAGTTCCATCGGGATTTGGGGGTCATCTAGAAGTAAAAAAGGTATGCAAGCTGAAAAAGGCTTTATATGGCCTTAAACAGTTTCCTAGGGCCTGGTTCGGGAGATTTGCCAAAGTGATGCTAGGAATGGAATATAAACAGAGTCAAGGGGATCACACACTGTTTATCAAGCACTCAGATTCAGGGAAGGTCGCAGTTTTATTAGTATATGTTGATGATATAATTGTAACTGGAGATGATGAAAAAGAAAGAGAGTCTCTAAAACAGTGTTTGGCCAGAGAATTCGAGATAAAAGAGTTAGGGAGATTGAAGTACTTTCTAGGAATTGAAGTAGCCCACTCACGTCATGGTATTTTTATCTCACAACAGAAATATGTGATGGATCTTTTGAAGGAAACTGGGAAGCTCGCATGTAAACCTGCAAGTACCCCTATAGATCCCAATCATAAGCTTGGAGAAGCTAATGAAGATGCTGCTGTAGATAGGGAGATGTACCAGAGCTTAGTTGGAAGACTTATTTATCTCTCACATACTAGACCTGACATAGCATATGCTGTGAGTGTGATAAGTCAATTTATGCATAGTCCTAAAGAAGTACACCTACAAGCTGTCTACCGTGTACTACACTATTTGAAGGCTATCTTGTTTAAAAGAAATTCAAGGTTGGTACTAGAGGCATATACAGATGCTGATTATGCAGGTTCAGTAACCGACAAAAGATCTACCTCAGGCTACTGTACTTTTCTAGGTGGTAATCTTGTAACTTGGAGGAGTAAAAAACAGAATGTGGTGGCAAGATCAAGTGCTGAAGCAGAGTTTAGGGCAATGGCTCAAGGAATTTGTGAACTACTATGGTTAAAGATTATTCTAGAAGACTTGAAGATCAAATGGGATGGACCAATGAGACTTTACTGTGATAACAAATCTGTAATAAGCATTGCACACAATCTTGTGCAACATGACTGAACAAAACACATTGAAGTAGACCGGCACTTCATAAAGGAAAAACTAGACAGTGGATTGATTTGCACCCCATATGTATCAACTAAGGGTCAACTTGCAGATGTGCTGACTAAAGGTCTCAACAGTGCAACATTTCAGGAAATTATTTCCAAGCTGGGAATGAAAAACACCTATTCACCAGCTTGAGGGGGAGTGTGGGAGTGGTTGTATTTTGTAATCTGTTGATTGTAATCTGTATATATCTGTATCCCTAAAATTGAGAATTTATATCTCTAGAATTAATGACAGAATATCAGGATAGACAATTCCTTGATTATAGGGATTAGATTTAGGAATATTTAGTTTCCTAGTTTACTCTCTAGTTAGTTGTATTTAAATCTATGGTGTTTGTATGATTCGTAACACAAGTTTTCAATATACTCTCATTTTTTCCACAGCTACTTTCTTTGCTCATATATATATATATATATATATATATATCATTATGACTAATTGTTTTGTTTTTCTTTTATCTTGATAGAGATGGTTGTGCCAGAGGTTGACAAAAAACTGCTTGAAGAACTGGAAGCAATGGGTTTCCCTACTGCATGAGCAACTCGTGCACTCCATTTTTCTGGTAAGGCCACTTATCATTCTTCTTGAAGTGCTATAGCTTACTTTTTTTTTCTTTTCTCACTTTCCTGCCAGGTTGTAAATCTTAATACTTTCTGTGTTGGAATGTAAATGTCAGGTTTTGAATTTTGCCATCTAATATTGTGTTTGCTGAATGTTCAGCGCCATGTTAAAATGCTTTACCAGTTTAACGCCATAATCTACCAATCTTTTCTTTACGTAAAGATTAGTCTTAAAAAAGTGAATTGTTTTCAATTTCAAAAAGTGCAATTGACTTGTTTCAGTATTCTGTTATAAAATTTCTTGTACCAATAAGGCCAACTAACAACTTTTTGCAATTAACATTCTTGATTTTGATACTACATACCCAAATATGGAAAAAATAATGTGTTCATCTAAAGTTTCAGACGGTGCAGATAAAGGTGCGAGCTGATGGAATCTTTGTTGTTGTGTAAATGTTGAATTTCTCTTCTTCAGGTAATACAAGCCTCGAGGCTGCTGTGAACTGGGTAGTTGAACATGAGGCTGACCCAGACATAGATCAAATGCCCATGGTATGATATCTTTGTACCCTATAGGATAGTGTTGGGTTTGTATCTAAAACCTGTACCCATCCCAAATCCCATAAGTATTGATAAGCAGGCCCTATTAGGGTAGGGTGGGTTGGATATCAGCCTAAGACCTACCTATAGTCACCCCTTTTTGGATAAGACATTCCCTTGCACTTCTGTGGATTTTTCACCTGCAATTGTCTTTTCAGCTACCCGTCAACAAAATTGTTGAGGCACCTAAACCTTCTCTTACACCAGAAGAGATGAAGCTCAAAGCACAAGAGCTAAGGTATGATTTATGAAGTTGCATTCTTCGGTATCATAAAATAGCATGCATGGTTCAGTCACTGGTGAAGAAAGTTTTTGTCAGTGCTTTTTCCACCCTTCATATAAACCTTGAGCATTCTCCAAACTCCAGATTTTAGGCCTGTCCGGCCTGTCTTATGTTGTAAAAAGTTTATTCCGATCTCTTTTTCTTTTTTATGTTGTTAAAGTTTGAAAGTTCTGGTCTGTCTTTCCTTGGGGGACTGTGAGATATTTCAGATATATTTCCAGATGCAATTGAAGAATTGTATGTATGTGGAATATTATTCTCCTGTTTTACAGTTATCATTCTTGTAAATAATAGGGAGCGGGCTTGGAAAAAGAAAGAAGAAGAGGAGAAGAGAATGGAAAGAGAAAGGGAAAAGGTGCTTCTTCATCTCATGTTATATCAATCTGCAGTCTAATAATTTGTGATTAATGTATTTATAGTTCTATACGTCATTCTTAAAGCTGTTTCCTATACCAACAAATACTCATAATGTTTGTGCATCGCTTGAACAATTGATTTAGTCCATTTTTATAAGCACACAACTAATTGTGACCAGAAGCAGCAATAATTTCGGTAATACCCTTAAAATGTATCTGAAAGCCATAGACATACGTAAATAATTCTTTTGACCAAATTTCTATTGAGAAATACATTAATGCATATTGGGATAATTTGGTGCCATAGTTGCAGTTATAATAATTTTTCTCATAATTTTCTACTGGTTCTCATTTTGGAAAAATACTATCACTCTAATGTCTACTAACTTTGTATATCATGACTCTGGATTTGGTCAAATATTGTATTTTTGTGATTGTTCTGTTGATGGAAATGTTCACTCAGCTAACTTAAGCAGCATTTATTCTTCTGAACTAGAACATGTCCAGCAACTACACTATGATGGTAAACTAAGCCTTTCCCACCACATAGCATTTCTGAGTAAAAAAAACCCACGTAGGATTAGTTATATGGATCACATTGCACTATCCTGCTCTATATAATACCATTTCCCCATTAAACTCATGTAAAACATGAGGTCTTTTTTATAGTTTTCATTCATGTCTTTTTTGGTCTTCCTTTCACTCTGTTGATGAAGGTAATCTCCTTCAAATCACATTTTTGTCATGTAGGCATTTATAGGTCTCTTTTTTGTGTCTATACATCCCTAAACATGTTTCTGTGATTTGTCTTCAATGGTGCAACCTTTACATTTTCTCTTATGCAATCATTCATAATTTTATCTATTATGTACATCTGCATATATATATATATATATATATATATTCGTAGCATTCTATCTGTCATGCGCTCTTTTATGTGCTTACCTGTTGATACTTGGTTGTCCAACATTTGGTCCCATAAAATGTTACTGGTCTTATTTTTCCTGTAAAATTTTCCTTAAGTATCAGATAATATCTTTGAGAATAAAAGTAAAACAATTGTTTAAAAAGATTCCCTCTCTGTCTCTCTTATTAATGCATTAGTAGTTTCCAGCATAATCCATTTTTTCTTTGTTTGAAAGAATTCAATTGTTTATGCTTTAAGTAGAGTGGTACTTGTGGGATGAAGCTTTGGCTTTTGTCCTGTACAATTATTTTCTACAGAAGTATGTTTCCCGAAATTGCATTGACTGATTGTAGAGTTTTCTTGGTTATCATTTTTGAAGCACCCTTGTTTCTATTACATTTATTTTATCGCTTACCTGTATCTTCCTTCATAACTGCCTTTTTGGTCTCTTGTGTGCTAGATTGTCATTTTCTTTCTCTCTCAGCTTTTTGTGAACCATGCTTTATCATGATTCTAGTGTCATAAATCATTTTCCATATGTCAGTGACAAAATTCTCTATTTTTTCAGGAGAGGATTCGAGTGGGCAAGGAGTTGTTGGAAGCAAAACGTATTGAAGAAGAAAATGAGAGAAAACGGTTTGTCTTCTAGTCTATATATATATATATATATTATTTATTTATTATTTATATTTTGTGTTTGCAATGATTTAATCTAACTTTGATTGGATGATTATTATTCTTTGTTCACATTTTGCTTTATCAGTTTGTTGGCCCTGCGAAAAGCAGAGAAAGAGGAAGAGAAAAGAGCTAGGGAAAAGATTCGTCAGAAATTGGAAGAAGACAAGGTTCTAATTCTTTCTTTCCTAGTTTCCTTTTTGTCCAACACTGTTAATCAAGCATGCAACAGTTTTAACAACTCAATCTAAATTTAGCAGCTAACAGAAACAATGTCTTTGTTGCCATCTTTACTTGACTGGTGATAATTACTACATGTATTTAAAGAGGCCATTAATCATCACTTGATTCCCCTATTGGTGTTTGGTAAACAATTTACATATGTCTCTCAGGCAGAGAGAAGGCGGAGGCTTGGGCTGCCACCAGAGGAGCCTGCCACTGTGAAACCTTCTGCACCTGTTGTGGAGGAGAAAAAGGTAATGGCCTTTCTGAATAATTATGTATCTGTTGCTTTAATTCAAGATTTTGTTGAAAGTATTCTTCAGAATGCGTTATTTAAACGTTATTCAATTGTCCAACTCCCTGTTTCTGTATTGCAGAGCTCATTGCCAATTAGGCCTGCCACAAAGGCAGAGCAAATGCGAGAGTGTTTGCGATCTCTCAAGCAAAATCACAAGGTAAATAAAATTTTTAATCTTGATCATTGTTCATTGAGATCTTACAATATCATCTTATCGTTTAGATTGATGACTTTCAAGCACTTTTCCCTTGTGTCATTCATTGTTGGTACATATATTGCTTAATGTTGTTTAGGCTAGTAGTAGAATAACATGGTGGCTCCCAAACTAGACAAAATTCCAAGTAGAAGTGCCTAGGGGTTTAGCTGATGTCGAATATCTGATTGAAAGCTATATCAAGAAAGACAGGACAACTTTCAATTCATACTGTTCTAGATTGTAAATGATTTCGACTCAATGAAGCCTTCATATTGAAACAAGTATAAGTGCATAGGTCACCTTCTGTCAAAGAGTACAGTCAAAAGATGGATAATAATGTTCATTTGGTCAACTGTTCCAGCTTAACTTAACTTTGGGTAGTAATAAAAGACGGAAGGAAAGACAATTTTTGATTGAATAGTTTGGCTGCATCATCTTCTTTTCTACATTGCAGGCTAGCCATTGGATAAGACAATCTTCGATTCTTACACTTATCCATCCCATTGAAAAAAAAGCCTTCTTTATTTTTCTTGTTGGAGCTTTTCTTTTTCGGTTCATAGGAGGGCAAAGCCTTTACAAGTGGGGAAAGGGGGATGACGGGGTTAGAACCCACGCCCACAGGTCTTCCTTAAAGCCTCTTAACCACCAGGCCAAGAGGTGGAAGACTTCTTGATGGAGCTTTGAATGCAGCATAATGTACTTTGTACATCAACTCAAGATCAACCTATACTGTTGTCATCTTATATAGATCTAAATTGATATAGATGATATTGGGTTGTAAATAATACATAAAATGCTCCTGATACAACTATGTGGAAGTATCATTTGCCTCCTTTTTCATACATCTACTCCAGGTTTGTTTGTTTTTTTTTTTTTTTCATGCCATAAGATCATGTCACTTAAAAAGTTATAGCACCTTTGAGCAGCAGGTCATTGTCTTGGCCTAACATTTTCTTTCTTTCTGTTTGGACTAGGACGATGATGCCAAAGTGAAGAGAGCATTCCAAACTCTGCTTACATATATAGGAAATGTGGCCAGGAATCCGGATGAGGAGAAATTTAGAAAAATTAGACTGAATAATCAAACTTTCCAGGTAACAAATTGAACCTATAATCATATCACATATTAATTTCAACACTGAAATCAAAAGCATATGCATGATTTTTCATCTATAGATTTAAACTTCGTTGAAACCAAGTATGTGCATGACTGCTTTCTCTCTCTCTCTGTTATGTTTCTGGTTATTTTGGAAGGAAACCCTTCTGTTAGTCTAATGAGGCTGTCCTGCTCATATAGGCATTTATTTTCTGAATCAGTTGCAATTAACTTCTGTACAGTTTATATTTATATGCTCACATCTCATGATTAAATTTGTCAGACTAAATGTGATTCTGGTCTATGTTTGTCACTCTGCTGTATTAACAGGATAGAGTTGGTTCTTTAAAAGGAGGTATCGAGTTCTTCGAGATCTGTGGGTTTGAGAAAGTTGAAGGGGATCAGTTCCTATATCTATCAAGGAACAAGGTTGACATGCAAGTGCTGAACTCAGCTGGATCTGAGCTGAACTCTGCAACAAACAATCCTTTTTTTGGGGTACTTTAAGTTGAAAACAGATTCATAAACTGTAGAGTGTTCTTTAATTTCTTTTTTATATTTAAAGTTGTCAGGATTTAAATTGTAACTAGAACTAAAAGTGTAGTACTCTATCAACAGTCAACGCGACTGTTAGCAAATGTTCTTTAATTTCAATCTTAAAAAAAGGTATACGTTTATATATTTTTGGCTTGTTTTCCTTTAATCCTTTGGTTTATTAGGCGATATGTTATTACCTATGAATTCAACTATAAGACTACAAATGAAAGGGTCACACCTTGCCACCAACTATAAAGAAAAATACTGGCATGACATATTAAAAAAAAAGGGGTTCATTCTTACTAGAGGTGTTACCAAAGCTACAACATGGAATAGACTAAGCCTATTGCCAACACTTGAAATGAAAAGGCTTCGTCTTCTCTTTGAACGAAACTCTTCTCCCGCCAAAACCGACTCTTCCTCCTCCTCTGCCGCTTTCAACAAACCAAAACCACCCATCTCTCATGGCTCATCATCATCCCAAGATCCTCTCAAAACCCATTTAGCCTCTCTCATCCAATCCTCCAAAACCACCTTCCAACTCCGCCAAATCCACGCCCAAATCCTCCGCCGCAACCTTTCTTCCAGCACCAACCTTACCACCCTCTTAATCTCCACCTCGTCTTCCCTCTATTCCATCCCTTATGCCCTCTCCGTTTTCAACCATTTCCACCACAAAAGCATATTCCTTTTCAACGCCCTGATCCGTGGCTTAACGGATAATTCTCATTTCCAATCCTCAATTTCCCATTTTCTTCTCATGTTGAGCCATAGAGTTCGCCCTGATAAGTTGACATACCCTTTTGTGCTCAAATCCGTCGCAGCTTTGGGTCATCGTTGCCTTGGTTTGATCCTTCATGGAAGAATAATCAGATCTGGGGTTGAGTTTGATTCATTCGTTCGGGTTTCATTGGTGGAAATGTATGTAAAACTCGAGGAATTGGGTTTTGCGTCGCAAGTGTTTGATGAAAGTCCTGAGAGAAACAAGAGTGGGAGTATATTGTTGTGGAATGTGTTGATTAATGGGTGTTGTAAAATGGGAAATTTGGGGAAAGCTATGGAGCTTTTCGAGGATATGCCTGAGAGGAATAGTGGGTCTTGGAATTGTTTGATAAATGGGTTTATGAGAAATGGGGATTTGGATAAAGCAATGCAGCTTTTTGATGAAATGAAGGAGAAGGATGTGGTTTCTTGGACTACAGTTGTTAATGGGTTTTCTCATAATGGAGATCATCAGAAGGCCTTATCAATGTTTTTTGAGATGCTGCAGGTCGGTTTGAGGCCGAATGATCTTACTCTTGTTTCTGCTCTTTCTGCTTGTGCTAAAATTGGTGCACTTGAAGCTGGAGTGCTTATCCATGATTATGTCTCGGGAAATGGTTTTCAGTTGAATAAAGCAATTGGTGCTGCTTTGGTTGATATGTATGCGAAGTGTGGGAATATCCTGTCTGCTAGTAAGGTTTTTGACGAGACAAAAGAGAAGGACATTCTTACCTGGAGTGTCATGATATGGGGTTGGGCAATCCATGGATATTATGAGCAAGCTATCCAATGCTTCAAAAAGATGATGTTTTCAGGTATGGACTTAGTAGCGTTTATTGAGCTTAATTTTCTATTATAATCTTTCTGAATAAACTCAAACTTGTCATGTTTGCAGGAATAAAACCTGATGGGGTTGTCTTTCTTGCCCTCTTAACTGCATGCTCACATTCTGGGCTAGTAAATCTAGGGCTTAACTTCTTTGACAGCATGAGGCTTGATTACTCCATTGAGCCAACCATGAAGCATTATACATTGGTTGTTGATTTGTTAGGCAGGGCAGGCCGGCTGGATGAAGCAATGAAGTTCATCGAAAGAATGCCTAAAAGTCCTGATTTTGTGACATGGGGAGCACTATTTTGTGCTTGCAGGGCTCACAAAAATATTAAAATGGCAGAACTAGTGTCACAGAAGCTCCTTCAGCTTGAACCTAAACATCCGGGGAGCTATGTTTTCTTGTCAAATGTTTATGCTGCAGTTGGGAGATGGGAAGATGTGGAGAGAGTAAGAATGTTGATGCAGAACCGAGCTGTTGAAAAGGATCCAGGGTGGAGTTATATTGAAGTTGGTGGACAAGTGCATAGTTTTGTAGCCGGTGATTACGCTCATAAGCATGCAAGAGAAATATACATGAAATTAGAGGAAATAGTGGCTGATGCAAGAGAACAAGGATATATGCCTGAAACTGGGTGGGTACTTCATAACATTGAGGAAGAAGAGAAGGAAGATGCATTGGGAAGTCACAGTGAGAAACTGGCTCTTGCTTTTGCCTTAATCCATTTTTCTCCTGGGACAACCATCAGGATAGTGAAGAACTTAAGAGTATGTGGGGATTGCCATTCTCTGATGAAATATGCTAGTAAGGTGATCCAAAGAGAGATAGTATTGAGAGATATAAAGCGATTCCATCATTTCAAGGATGGGGCCTGCTCATGTGGAGATTATTGGTGAAATGGTAAGTAACAGCAGCATGAATACTCTTTGCTGTCAATAACACTTTATTTTTTTTGCTTGGTATATTTAAATAAGCTAAAACAACACAAAAAAGAAACTTGTTTAGTAGCATGTGTTATGCTTGATGCGATACCAACTTAGCAATTTATGGGCTTTTTTCTGCACTACATGATATTTTTCCCGTCTGTTGTGGAAAGAATTGAAGAAATTGGTGCTCACTGGATTGTCATGACACATAGCCATAGGTGATAGGTTAATGACTCTCTTGGTTGGTATCTTCCATTTGTCAAGGCCCAGCCAAAGTTATACCTTCTACTTGTCTAAAGTCCAAACCTAAAAGCAACATTAATGGACCTTTAGAACTTTGCACATTTCATTACATGAATGATTTCATGTTTCATGCTCAACTTATAAAGTACATCTTCTCCAAATCCTGTTACTCTTCAGTTTTCGCAGTCTTTCTCTTTACTGGCTTCTTCAGGTGTTTAGGTGGCTGCATCTCTCAATATCTCATTGATTGCAGAACTTTTGTTTTTCATTTTACCTAAATGGTTGAAATTAAAGTCCCTCTATATTACCATTGATGCCTTTTCTTCTATATGGTAGCTATTCTTTGATGTATGTATTTATTTATTTTGTTCCAGTTTCTTTTATGATCTATACTAGATAGCAGACAGTTTGAAATCTTCAGCCTCTCATCCATGACATATAGCACTGCAGATGAAGGTGTAATCCTACTTCTAGCTTGGGGTTTACCTTCTATAATGCAGGTACTTCAGGATGACTCAAATTGTATGTGAGCAAGATTCAAGAAATAAATTTAACGCTTGGATTGGGAAAGACAGGCCCTGAATCATGTAATAAACGTTCATCCAAAAGGTCAAAACATTGAGGAGAAGGTTCAACCATGAGTGGCCCGCCAAAACGTGCTCAGCCAAACACATTCCAATTATCAAGTACATGTCAAATTCCACAACTGTGAATTTGAACTGGGGTAAATCCTATATCTAACTCTAGTTATCATCTATCTTGATTGGTTTTCTAATATTTCAAGTGAATACTAGGGGGAAATCTTGGGTTAAATTCTCTACTTAATCTGTTCTTGAGAATAGATGACATCAATTCATAAAGATAACAGGGTCCATCTAAGAGGTAGTAATGGATGTTTGGTGCATATTTAAGTCTGATTATGTAATGGCTAAATAAATTGTGTCATTCTCTTGTTTGCAGGTGACCATATCCTCTAGTATGCCTTGTGGAAAGAAGTATTCTTGCAACTAAATCAACTGTAACTGACCCTAACCAATGAGCCTTGGAGCATTTCATATCTTGCCATGGTGAAATTGAGGCTCAACTCTTCGGTGGTACTATTATTACAATCCTCTTACTCACTTTCCAATTGGTTAAAGCACAAAGATAAAGCATAAACAACATTTTTAGGATTTGATATTTAAGGTTCAATTATCTTTGTGGTAGCTTAAAAGTTGAAACATAATAAAAATACTTGGATTTGATCTCTGTTCAGCTTTTCAATTTTTGTATAGTATCCATATTCTAAGCATATTTAACCGATATGGGTACGAAAGTAAACTTAAAAAAATTGATCATACCCATGTCGGATATATACTCTTGTATCCAGCACTTCCTCTGAGTTCAAGTAACGTAGGATTTGATGATCCCAAGCCTGTCAATTTACCATAGCATTACAGCATGAAAATTGGAGTTTTTTCAATTATGTTACAGACCAAACAAGATTGTAGGAATCTCACTGAAGCTCATGGCAATCATTGATATGAAGCTAGAGCAGAACCAAAGTCCAAACCAATGAATGCAATCTTTTATATCATCAAAGGACCCAAAACTCAACCAAAAGAACATAGATTCACTTTTTTTTGAAAAAAAATTGATACATACCCAATCAGTGTCCCACTTCTCCTTTAAGAAATGTAATAATATAAAACATGATGAATAAAAAGGTTGTATTGTCAAAAACTACATAAAACCGAAGAATCATGGGGCCATGATTTCTGTGTCTGTGCGGCTGCAAACATAAAACAACCTGATAATTTCAAAAGCAACAGCTAATGTGAGGATCGGATGTCTTACTTTTTGCTTGTTATGAAACTCTTTGGTTACTGGATTTTTCATATGGCTTAGACATCAAAGTATCTGTCTAGCTGTCTGCATATTGTGGGAACCAAGGGATTTCTCTAGGTGCTTAGTAATCAGTCGAGGTAAATTCTGTTGATATAATTTTTAATGTAACTTGGCTCAATAATAAACTTTAAACTTCAAAGCTTAATTTGAATCTTTTTGAAGTGTTAATTTTAGGTTAGATTGAAAATAATATAAAAAATATTTTAATTCAATTAAATTTAATTTGATTATCATTTATTTGTTCGAGTAAGGAATTTAAGGTTTTAGTTTGAAATTTAAAACAATCATTGTAAATACTACTATACTTTAATTTTGCACAAGTAGGATACATTTATAATACATAATGAATTAGGTATCTATTTTAAATATGTTAAAAAATTTTTAAGAAAATTAAAACATATAGGTCAGAAATTCGTCATTTTCTCGTTGGCCCTTGACCTTCTCTCTCTCACCGCGCTGTCACTCCATCTTTTGTTTCACCTCTCTACGAAGGAGAAGGGAAAGAGAAGAAACGAGAGAAAAAAAATTTCAAGTTTTCGACTCCGATATCAGTCCCCCAAACATTGTTCAACTTCACACACCCAATTTTCAAAACCTATTTTTACAAATTTCTCAAATTTATTTTTAATTTATAGAAGGAGCAAATCTCGATACCAATCTTGAAATGGTGAGGAAGAAAGTACCTGATTGGCTCAACAGTTCGCTCTGGTCCACACCTCCCAGCGACGATCGCCTCCACCGCTACTCCCCTTCTCCCACCTCCACCACAACAACCTCCTCCGCTGCCGTTTCCCAGCCGACTGTTCAGCCTCCGGTTCCAGTGCCTTCTCCCCCAGTAGTCTCAAAACCTCAGTCCACTCCCACTCCTCCGAAATCCGAAATCAGAGATCCAGTTAATAGAAATAGTAACAACAATAGCAATGATAATGATCAAAACGGTGGTTCTTCTCCCGTTTCTCCCGATGATATCTCTCGCCAGGCTCAGCTCTTGGCCGAGGTTTTTAACTGATTCTCCATTTTTAATTGATTTTCTTGTTCTTTTTTTAAAATTTTTAGATTTTTTTTGTCAGTTATCAAAGAAAGTAGTAAATATGCGGGAGCTGCGAAGGATTGCCTCGCAGGGGATTCCTGATGGTGCAGGAATCAGGTCTACTGTGTGGAAGGTTGTTGCCTTTTTTCCTTTTTGCGGTTTGGTTGATGAGAAATTTGAAAAATATGGAAATTCCGTATTTCTAGTCTTTGGATCGAATGAATTGTTTTGTTTGATGTATTTCAAATTTGTCTTTTTGTTTTTAATTATACTGAGATAGTGGTTGTTTGGTTGTTGTGGCAGTTGTTATTAGGGTATTTACCGCCTGATCGTGGGCAGTGGTTGTGTGAATTACCTAAGAAAAGGTCTCAGTACAGGCATTTTAAGGAAGAGCTCTTAATGAATCCTGTAAGTCTTTTTCTTTATCTTTTGCTTGTTAAAATAGTGGATGACTGAGTGCATTTCTATGACTTTGTACATTAAGTTCAAGTAAGTATGATGAGATTGGTTTCTTTAGTTAATGCTAATGTAAAATTTTAGCAGTATTTTTAAAGCATGAAGTGGATAAGATTTGAAACAAAACTGATATTGGTAGATAGCTAGAACATGGAACTGACTATGTTAATAAGGGGAAAAGTGTAGTTTAGCCCTCTCTTGATGGCTGTAAAGTACTGCAATTACTTTCACTCCTCTAGTTCATTGTGTTTCTCCTAACAACAAAATGACTTAGCTTGAGCATTATGCTTATTTTATTTAAATTTTTTCATTTTTTGCATTATCAGCCAGAAAAGTAGTGTTATCTTGTGTGGTTGCTGTCTTTATCTTCCTTTTGCTGCAAGAGTTTTGGATTTCTGAATGTTTCTGTGGCTAGTCAGTCAGAAATCACAAGGAGGCTGGAGAAGTCCATGGGTTGTGACAAAGATGAGTCAAAACCTGAAAGCAGGGGTATGCTGTCAAGATCACAAATAACTCATGGAGAGCATCCTTTGAGCCTTGGGAAAAGTAGCATCTGGAATCAATTCTTTCAGGTATCTTGTTAGGCTCATTTGAAAATCAGCATCATAGAAGGAAAAACAACAGCATCTAAACTTCTTATTGATAACATGTCCTAACCAAAGTCAAATGAGAAAAAAATACCAGGCTGCTCAACCAACTCGTTTTCGGTCAATGCTTAGTTGAGAGTACATGAGCTGAGTATTATTTGTGTTTTTATAGTAATGTATACATGACAGCAATGTAGGGGAGTTCTGATTGTCAATTATTAATAGAATCTGTCATTGACTTTTGTAATCTCTAGTACTTACAGTTTTCCTGATTTACTAGCATTCAGAAAACAGGCTTTTCCCCTTTGTTTGCTTGGCCTTCTTAGTCATGTTGTTGATGAGCCCAATTATTTGAAATTTCTTCTTTTGAAGTTCTAGATAGAAGGGCTTAAGTGAGTGGATTTTAATAAGCATTTTACTTATAACTTATAAGCATAGTTTTTATTGATCTCAAAACTTTTTTGTGGGGTATATTCATAGGACTCAGAAATCATAGAACAGATTGACCGAGATGTGAAGCGCACTCATCCTGACATGCACTTCTTCTCTGGGGATTCGCAGCTTGCAAAATCTAATCAGGCATATATCTTCTTCATTCTTTTATTCTGTCATGCAATTTTATTGTTGCACTCTTTTTGAATTGAGTTTTCATATGAATTGGATTCATTTCTGACTTATATATACCTTGCTTATTCAGGATGCACTGAGAAACATATTAATTGTATTTGCCAAGTTAAATCCAGGTATAAGATATGTTCAAGGGATGAATGAAATCTTGGCACCTCTATTTTATGTATTCAGAAATGACCCTGATGAGGAAATGGCGGTGAGATCTCATTATCTTCCCAATACGGTTTTTTTGTATTAAAATCTCTAACATGCTTATATTTTGTTTTTAACAATATCTCACACTTTTGGCAACATTATCTAAATAGAATAATTTATTAAGGTATAAAGAACATGATTCAGTGTCTGTTTGGTATCATTGCCATTTGTACCTTTGTGTTTGTGTTGTTCTTGTGGGTGCCACTTTTTTTTTTTTTGCAAAAAAAGAAACACAACATACAAAGCTGCAGTGATTGTTTTGAATTTTACGTATTGAATATGGAAGCAAGTTTTAGAGAAAGTTATAAACAAGAAAATATTCTCAAAAATGAAGGACTGAGAAAATGAACGTTTAGATGTGCGATGAGGAGTCTTTACAGCTCAGGATGTCCAAGCTTCCTGGTTTGAATCATTAAAGTAAATATCCTTGGCTCTATTATTTGGATTAATTTTTTCTCAGTGTAAAGTTGTTGCTGGAACCAAAAAAGGGTGTTTTGCATCTGGAACCTCCCTCTTTGCTCAGCTTTGAGACATACATTTCTTTCATCCATTTAAGTTCTCGGCAAGCTAGCTTGCCAGTTTCTTTCTTGTTATTTCTGTCTGCAACTCCATTGCCACCATTTTCTTGTCCCCAAAAACTCATGGAGAGAACTTTCAAATAGATATGTTGCTTGTGGAAAACAAAATATGTTGATGTTCTTTTATCATTTTTGACTTAGTTGACACATGTAAGTCAGAAATTTGTATGTGCACAAAACCATCTGGAGTATATATGTCAACAGATAGCCATAGACCAATTACATGGCCAATAACCATTGCAAAAATAACTTAGATGAATTCCTTTGTTATTATGATCAAAGTATGGTTAAGAGTAATGTTTTGCTATGCTTTATTATTTTTTTCATCATTTTCCATATTTAAGTCTTGCAGGCTGCTGCTGAAGCCGACACATTCTTTTGTTTCGTTGAGTTACTGAGTGGATTCCGTGATCATTTCTGCCAGCAACTTGACAACAGCAATGTGGGTATTCGTTCCACAATTACGAGGTTGTCACAGCTTCTGAAGGAGCATGATGAAGAGCTTTGGCGTCATTTAGAGGTCACAACTAAAGTAAGATATCATTGCAAAATTTAAACTTCTTGTAGTAAATAGGTCCCATCTTTCCATATGTTTCTTGTCATATTTTGTTTCCTGACTCATGCTTGCCTCTTATCACTAACCCCACCTCCTGTACAATTCCATCCCCCTTTCCCCCGTCCTTTCTTCCCTTCTTGCCACGGAAATTAGTTCACTTAAATGCTAACTTCTGTGTGTAAATATCACAGGTTAACCCCCAGTTTTACGCATTTAGGTGGATTACTCTACTCTTGACACAGGAATTCAATTTTGCAGACAGCCTTCACATCTGGGACACGCTTCTAAGTGACCCTGAAGGTCCTCTGGTATGATTGCAATTTTAACCTCTCCCTCTCTAGATCTTTACTTGAAGTTTGTTAGCAGCTTATTGGACAAAGTATTCCAATTATTATTGTTTTTATTTAAGTCATTGGGGAAATTAGAGGGAGAAGATGAGTGATGCCTGGGTGTGTGCGATAAGTTGCTGGCTACTGCCATGTCAAGGGGTGGTTAGCCATATATCTAGATTTACTTCCGGGATAGTGCAGCTAGGACATGAACTTTCATCATGTGATTTATTTCATGATCCAACTTATGCAATGGTATTATGCATTTGTATGATTATTTTGATATATTTAAATTAGTATATGTTTTTGGCTATATATTTATGATGACAATCCTGTGACGATATTTGAAGTGTTGGCTCTAAGGAATGGTTAGTCTTTTGAAATTGGTTTGAATGTTGTTGGGCTGATGGCTTCCAAATGTACCTAATTTGGTAATTAGACTCTTGACTGTTTACATGGTACCTCAGGTTTACATTGATTTAAAGTTACATTGGTCAAATACACTTGATTACAGAAGCTTGGGATGTTTACTAGTTATTCTAAAGCAAACATACATGTACTTGCAGGAGACATTGCTTCGAGTGTGCTGTGCGATGCTGATTCTCGTTCGAAGGCGCCTGCTAGCCGGGGATTTTACTTCCAATCTTAAGCTACTCCAAAGCTATCCCTCAACAAATATCAGCCATTTGCTCTATGTTGCAAACAAGTTGCGCACACAAGCCTCGGGCTAAAGCTTATTAACCACGCAATTGTCTCTTTTCATCTTTTGTCCCCCTTTGACCCTTTTCCTTTGGTTTCAGAAAAAATAGTGATTGTAAATTGGTGGGTGTAAATTGGTTGGGAGTTACAGCTAACATGCGGGGAGAACATTTCTCTCTATTTCTGTTTCATTACATTGTTTTCTGGAAGTAAAGTTATGTCGTATTTGTTTTATTCAGGATTTGATTTTGCGGTGAAAGATTTTGTTTTTGAAACGTTACATTTACTTCTTATTTTGAGACAGTGGTGGTTTTATGAAAATCTTATTTAGTATAAATTTAATGTATAAAAATAATTTGTCAACTGTTAGAACTTGAATCATAAATTCAGAGGTTTCATGTTCAATTCTTGAATGATGGAGATAGAACCATAAAATGTGAGTTGACTGACTCTTTCGTTTAGTTTACATAACATTAGAGTTAACATGTTGTGGATTCATACAAGTTTTATATATATATATATATATATATATATATATGATGTTTTTTTCAGTCAAGTAAGTGTAAGCCAAATGTTTTTACTTTTAGTTCTTTAATTCATGGATTTTGCGGCATTAGCCAGTGGGACGAAGCCTAAAGCTTATTAGCTGACATGGTTAATAGAGGAGTTCTCCAAACGTGTAAACCTTCAATTTTCTAATGGCTCCTCTTTGCAATGATGGGATGATCCAAGAAGCCAATTCTTTATTCAATTTAATGCCTCAACGCATAAAGCATTATCTTTATTCAATTTAAGGCCTAAAGCCATAAAGCCTAATGCTGTAATCAATGGATGGTTGATACGAACGGTAAGAAGAGTGTACTCTTCCATTTGTTGTTTAAATTCAAATCCGTTGGATGTGAGAAGTAATTTTCATGAATATCCTAAATCTATTGTAAATAAACCTATGAATTGAGCAAAGTTCAAAAGCCCCTTTTTCGCTTAATAAAAGAAAAAATCCCTAGAGATGTGGCTTATACCATGCTAATTTACACCTATTGCAAGTCTGGTGAACGAAGGCAGGCCACAAAGTTCTTGGAGAGCATGATTGCTTCTGGAGTTTTACCAGACGTTGTCACTTTTAACTCCATGATAGATATTTTATGCAAGGAAAGATGGTAAAGGCATTTGACTTTATTGAATTGGCGTTGAAACCAAGAATTGTCACCTACAACACTTTAATTCAAGGATTTTTCCATTCAAGCCAACGGAAAGAAACTAACTTTCAGCTCTTTAGTATATGCTCTTTGTAAAGAAAGGAGAAGTGCAGAAGCCATAGAAGTATAGCTAGTAGCAGAGAGGTCTAAAACCTGTTGTCAAGACTTACAACTCTTTAATAAATGTATTATGCCTTTCAGGAGGACAATGGACTGAAGCATCCTCTTTCCCCTCAAGATCTTTCAGGTCAATCAGTTGTCACAAAATAACAGAGGTTTTTTTTTTTTTTTCTTTGGCAGAAAAATTGAGTGCTAGAGTTCAGTAGTAAAACATGATATCATTTGTAGTAAATACCTTCTCAACTTGGTTCATGTGCTCCTACCAATTTGTTCCTATGACATGTCAGTGTAGTCCAAATTGCAAGTATAAAACCTGCACAACCAAACGATCTTTTAGCATCTCCTGGAAAGTCTTCAGAAATTAATTAGCTGTTCTATCTATTCAAAGTGGTTTAAGTAGAACAACTTTCCTTTTTAGCTTCTGTGCTCACTTTAATTTTCCCTGGATGTATTGTCAAAACTGATAAAATACTATAAGACACACATTGAAAACTCTAGGAATTATATATGGACCAACTAAAATTACTTCAATGCTGCAAAACAGATATCAGTTATGAAGATTACCTGAACAGCTGAACAAGGCCAGACAAGCCAATTCCTTTCTCTGGTTTCTAGAAAGATATATACCATTGCAAAAGTCAAACAAAATTCTCATCTTTCTGTCCTACTTGTCAAATTTTTTTCCACCAAGGCTTCAAGGTCACTAGTCACTTCATTCTCCAACCGACTGTCTAACATTTCCAAAACATTATCTGGTGGGCATTTGTCAGCAGGATTTTTAGGTGACACTTGACAGAAGCATTCTGGCCAAGAATTTGTATAAAAAGATTCAGGTGGCACCCGCTTGTGAGGTCTACCAAAGTTTGTTTTAAGCATGACACGCCTAACAGCTTGCTCAAAACCAGCAGTCCTTCCATTCTCTCGATCAATGAATATTGGAGCAAGACCTTTTCTGTCAGGTCTAATTGTAGTGCGAAAACCATAATAGAGCCGGTGACCTAGTAGGTTGTTGGCAAAGTTGCTTGGTCCATCATATGTTGGCATAAAAATGTCAGAAAGAAGACAGACCATGTAATCAACAGCAGAACCCAACAAACCCTGGGAGTTTGTGGCTAGTTCCTCCGAAGAGTCTACAGAACTGTGATTCTCAAGGCGAGGGAAAAGAGCTCGAAATGGTTTCATGAAACGCTCACCACCAAATAATTCACCAGCAGCTAGGTATATCCGGGTAGAATTGTCAAATCCCATAGCATGCAAGACAAGACCAACCTGCAGTTCAAACAGTAATATAAATAAATATATATATAAGCACCATCTCTCTCTTGCCACTCTCTGTGTAAGTAGAGAGAGAAAGAGAGAGAAACCATTGGAGGAATGATTAACAAGATATGCTACCTCCTCTGGAGTTAGTGGGCATTTCCCAATGGCCCTTCTTTCTTCGTAGACAAGTCTTTTCTCTGCAAAATTTTCCTTTCTATACTTCTTCAATATACTTTGCTCTTCTGGGTTAAATATATCAAAGCACCTGCAAACCATTCAAGCCAATCAAACAATTAATGTCTTCATGCATATCAAAACATATATTACATCAACCTATGTGTTTTTTGTCAATATAATATGGATTCATGAAGTAGATAAGATAGGTCACAATGGATCCAAAAATACTGAAAAATGGATGTATTACTCTAAATTGTCAGTAAAAGCACTGAACAAGATACTGGATATTTCTTCTTGCGTCAAGCAAAATGCATCAGCCTGAAAAAGGAAGGGGGTAGGGGGGAGGGAATGGATACACAGCATTTAAAACAGAAAATATTACTTTGCAGAACTATTGACCAGAATTTCTTCATCCTTAGCATAAAACTTAACAGATTGTACATGGTTATAGAACAAAATTCCTAAATTTGTCTATTTTTAAAGCAATAATAATCATTTCAACCAACAGTATCCAAATGTTTGAACAACAGATGAAATTTATGTGCGCACTGTCCTAGCAGTCTCATGTGTTTTAGAAAAAAACCCATATCTTACATTTCTTAAACTTACAGCTAAAGCTATTCACACACAAAACCCAAGCAAAAGTGATTTGCATACCCCACAACCTATGGCAGCTGACAATGAAGTAAGTTAGATATAATTACATAAGAAAAAGAATATACCCAGCGAATGCCAGCATATCCATCTCAAAACGAAGATGTATCGACATGAAATGACCTTGTGCACGGAGTTTATCAACTATTGACTCACTTAACTTCATAATATTTGGCTTGAACCTTAAAGCATGATAATTAACTCTACACCTCAACCGTTGATACTCAGGATTGTCTATTTCTTCAGCAAGACGATGTGAAAATGGAGTTAAATAAATAGCACCATGTTCCTGCATTTTCTCAAGAGCAACTGTTGTATACCAACTGATAGGAGCATCCCTAGGGGGGCGCAGCTAAATGAATAGAGAAAGAAGCAAAAACATAGAAAACACATAAGCTTCAACAACTTCTAAAGAACTTAAAATTATTTGCATAATTAATAATTATAATTATTGTCACCAATATTTCACCTGATACGCTTTTATCTTCTTGGTTTTACCATTCTTGCGAATTGCAGGTATGCTTTCCACAATTCGTACATCATACTTCAGTGTCTGGATAAAATTCTCAACGTCATAGATACCTTGGAAACCACTGGAGAAATAAAGATGGTATCAGTACATTTAATTGCAAAAGATCCACCAGAAACATAGACAACTGGCCTCAATGAAGTGGGAAACACATTCCATATAATACACGTGTATCTTTCTAGTTCTTTGTTAGGCAGCTGAACAATTAATGCTCTGTAATGAAAGCAAAAAAAACATAAAATATGCTTGCAGCAAATTGATCTCTAAAGAGCTTTGTCCTACTGGTGGTTCAAGTTTAGGGAGAAGCAACAGTGAAAAACATTCTACTAGAAATGATATTAATTAAAGAACTAATTCAAAAACATCAGTTAGTGAAAATTTCTAATATGCAAAAGAAAAAAAAAATGATTGCTTGAGTAAATCATACATTAATTATCACTACAGAATGGAGAATTCAATCAGATATCAGTGAGAAAGCTCCTCAAAGATAAAACACATATTCTTAACCACAAAATACATAAAAAAATTTTAGAACTTAATGATTCAAGTCATCCAAGAAATTTGTAGTTTTATGGGCAAGCACATATTCTTGCTGGATCTTCCAAACTGCTAGTGATTCTCTTCCTAATAATGATCAGAATTCTTAGTCTAGTAGCCATTTCACCCAATAAACTAAGAGATGATAAATACAAAAAATTCTGAGTAACTTCCATTCAACTACAGCCATGAGCCAACTTTAACTCTAATAAATTGAAATGAAGATGACTCAACTTAGGTTGACCAACCAAATAAACACAAGCTTGCTGAAACCATAGCAAGTTCATTTGGAAGAGTACCAAAGGGAGGAAGTCACCCATGCCCCAGAAAACAGATTAGAAAAGCTAAATCCATGCAGCATACAAAAATCTTCACAACCATGCAGAGGAAAATATCACAATCAGTCACAAACTTTAATAATCTTCTATTAGCCTTTCTGAGCTACCAAATGCAAGAAATCAGAATTTCCCTCACTAAAGTATGGCTTCAAACTGTGGAAGGAAAAACGCATATGACAAATTAATATCCTAAAATTCTACTCTAGAATTGCCAACCCAATTAAGTGTTTGTACTAATTATTATAAAAGTTTTAAACTTCTATCTGAAAATTTTCCATTTAAAATCTGTTTTAATAATAATGAAATTACTCTGCTTCTGTTATAGAAGAGTAACCAGTTAATTTCAAATAAATTGACAAAAAGACAAGACTACCTGTCATCATGCCAAAAGGAGTTGGCATCCAACTCAGGCAGTACGAGAGTTGCATTCATAATTCGTGCAGCAAGAACCGCATTACAGATCTAGAACACCAAAAAAGGTCAACTTACTATTTTATTTCAAATACACCATTGAAGCATTATCACCACAATCTAACTCTAGTTTAAACTTAGGTAATGATTCATAAGCCTTTTTAGGTACACTAAAAATATAAAATAAAACATAAACATAAAAACTCAAGCTGGCTTGCACCCATTTAATTTTCATGGAAGAAGCCAATTAACAGAATATTTCAGAATAGAGTTTATGGAAAAAGTTCAAGACAAACTGCACTGCGTTGCTGATTCAGACCACCGTTGCAACGAACTCGAAGATAACCATTAGTTTCCCTTGGAGGAGCTGCCAGAATATGACAATCAGAGTTCTAAGAAACTTCCATCTTTAGCAAAAATCAACTTGAACAGATTTGTTTTTCTTTGAGAAAGTTATGAGTAGTTACGGGGCCAATCAGATCGTGGAGCAGATGATGGCCTCCATCCACCAGAGTTGGCACTTTCCCAAAGTTCTTCTGCATTGATCTGAATAAACATATCAGAAGAAAGGATGGTCAAAGGTTAGACTGATCAATAATGTTGACCAACCACTAAAACTAGAAAAGGGTGAGTAAACCTAATCACTAGCTCAGCCTCAGCTTACACATGCCTGCAGTTCAAATTAATATAACAACCAGTCTCATGCACAAATATCTGAGTACAGAGCACCTCATATATTATGCTTATTTCAAAACATTCCCTATGAAGGTAAAAAAGGCCTATCAATAAATCTGGTTAGAGGAACCATGCATAAAAACACATAAAGTCTTTGAAAACTGACAAATGAGCCTCTTGGAGTTAACCCACATGATCCTTTCACCATACAAATTAGCATAAGGCCAGATTAAAGCAATAGATAAAGCATTTCTACTTTGATGCATTTTCATGCAATTAATAGGTCAATGCATAGATTACAAAAACCAAATAAGAGATTATCGAATACCGACCAAATGAAATGGTTTTCACATGAATCAAACAAGAGATTGTCCTATAGGATCTATTGAGCATTAGCATTATTAAATACTCGTTCATCCAATAAACTTAGCTACCAATTACAACAAACAAGTCATCTTAATCGCATTTCTACCTTTTAAGTCTTAACAATCAGATAACAAAAGCAATCCGCATATTGTAATTAAACTGCAGAGTTAAAGCTCAAAACACGCAAATTTAATCACTAAGCCACAGGTCAAATTAAAACGACGAAGCTCCAATTTACTACAATTTAACTCATTAGATTTCTAACTAATAACAAAACTAATGAATCACAATCATTATTACATTTAAAATTCTCTTTTCCTTTTCCTAGCATTTTCTCAGAAAACAAACAAACACCAAAATCCACAATCCAGAAATCGGGACGATCAGATTCTAGCTATTACTACTAACCACAGAAGGCTCAAGAGATCCGCGATTTCCGCTAATTGTAGCCGAAAACAAAAGCGAAAGCGTGCAGATCAAAAGTACTACAACGGCAATCATTAGCTTGGCGTAAATCCCCGTTGCTCCTCCTCCTTGCTTCCCATGCTGCCTATGCTGCCCCGACCTGCAAAACAAAGGCTTCAAGAAAATGGCTGTTTGGTTCAATGGAAAAGGAAAGAAAATAAATCGACTAGTTTGTTTACCTCCGCATAATTAGGAGAGGAAAAGGAAAAGTGTTACTAGATCTGAAGATTTTAGAGATTATGGTGTTTTGGGTTGGGTTTTAGTTGCTCTGCATTTGAGAGTGCGAAATTAGTAAAAAAAAGAAAATTTTAAATTTAAAAAATAAAATAACAACAAGAGTGTTGTAAACTGCAGTGTAGTTTTCGAAAAGGGCAAGATGTGATGGGCGGTTGTTGGGTTGCGATCATTTCTTCGGCTGGGCTTCAGCTTCGTTTAATGGCCGGGTATGGTTTTTTCCCATGCTCAATTTTTTTTATAAAAAGAAGATAAAATCAGTGAAGAAATTACATACGATAAATTTAAATTTATTAAATTTTATTTGAAATTATTATATTAATTAATTAAATTAAATATTTAATTTAATTCAATTTTTTTAACCATATCCAAGTTCTAAAAATGTAAAGTTGAAGGTTTTTTTTTTTTCTTCCATCTTTTTTGGAAGCCATCCAGTCAAAGGAAGACTTGAAAGCATAGATGAATAAAAAGGGAAAAAAAATTTTAAATTTATACTTCAATGCCATATATTTTTAGAATTTATATACTCCTTTTTTTTATGTATATAAAAAATGAAAGAACTTGAAATTAACATGCGTCTTTAGAACACAAATAAAATATGTAAGCCCCTCTTCAGCAAGCCGACCTTAGCTCAGTTGGTAGAGCGGAGGACTGTAGTTGGTTAAAACCCACAGCTAATCCTTAGGTCGCTGGTTCGAATCCGGCAGGTCGGAATTTTTAATCCTATATATATACATATATATATATATTTTGCAATTTTGGTTATATTGTTTTCTCAAAGGAGAGGAAGATTTCATTGGCAAAACAAATTTTTTTCGTTAATGCATTCAGCAAAACAAACATTCAGTGAAAGACTCAAAGCAACGCCAAATTCAACTACAAACAACCAGTTAAAAAGTCGTTTCGTTTTATCATCAGCTGCTTAAATCCACGAAAAAGAAAAAAAAAAATGGTAAGAACACCGAATTTTACCTTTCTTTACTTCAACTCTGTTTAGTTGCCTAGAAAGTAAACAAAAATCAATAACTAAGCTCCGGATCTCAGTAAGTAGTAGCTCAATTACATTACGTTTTACTTTTCTTATAGAAGAAAAAAATCAGTTTCTTTTTTTTTTGTCTGTGTTTTCCTTGAATTTTTTTTATTGTCTTGGATCCAATTGCTTGATTTTTGTCTTTTTTAGGTTTTTTTTAAAATGTAATTAACTGTATATTGGAATAGATTATGTATTTTATTCCATAGGCTTAATGAATCTTTTTAGTAATTCTTCTTACTGAATGTATACAAAAAAATTTAGGCAAACACATTGAGGCTGTATTTGACTTGCATAGGGAACGCTCCTGAGGCTGCCATGTGTCTCCAGTTATGCAAACTCAAAAGTTTTAATCTGAATTTAATTAACTCCTACTGAGTATCCATAGAAAAATAGTAATGGCTGAAATTTAAGTTCTAATTCTTCTGAATTTGTTTGAATAGATTTTGTGACTGTTATCTGATTGAATTTGAAGGGTCACATGATTTTCGTGTTCGATTTCGTATTTGTGGTTGTTAGAATGGCTTGGAAAAGGAGATATAGTCATTGGATTTTTGTTTGGCATCATGCTGTGATTAAGAGCTGAGGATTTAATGTAATCACTGAACAGAATTGGGAATGGTTAGAGATGTATAAGATGTTTGTCATGTTTCCAAATATTAGTTTAGAAAATGATGGATAAATTTGTTGCTGCCAACGACTAATATGGTTCGTTGGGAGCTCTTTGATTCACAACTGTCGGATCTTCGTAGTCTTTCTGAGGGAGGATAATGGCTGCCAATGACTAATATGGTTCATTGGGAGCTCTTTTGATTCACAACTATCGGATCTTCAAAGTCTTTCTGAGGGTGGATAATGGATAGAGGAGGAGGTTTGTCCTAAGATTTTCAATGCATGCGTGCAGTTTCTACATCTTCACAAATTTCAAAGCTATGCCAACCTATATTTGTGTTCTAGATTATTTTTGGTTAATAATTTGAAAATCTTTTAGTTGTTCTAATGCTTTTGGATATGTCTTTTTTGCCTATTCTGATCATTTATCTTGACTTTAGTTACTTGGTGTTATTAATCTTTACAAACTGTGGTTTTCCTTTGAATAACTATATCCGTAATGAAAGACGTATTTCAATTAAATGTGTTGGCCTGGGAAAGACTTTCGTTTGTCAAAATTCTTTTTACATGTTATATATGCTCATTAAATCTTACTCTCTTATTCGCAGGCTGTTTGCAGAATTTTCCTAGTTGAGAGGCATAATAAGCCAGAAGTTAACTAAAGTATGTATATTCATTTCAGTTTCATCTCTAATTTCTTATTTTAGAATTTGACATATTCTGATTGGATAAGTAAATGAAAAGAAAGTGATCAAAGAACTAACAAGGTGTGGAAAAATTAATAAGAAACGCAAATAATTGTTGCTTCTTGCATTGTCTTGTTGGTGTGGAATTGTGTTATCATTCTATAATTATCATAGACCAGTCTTAACTGATTTGGCTTTTTAGTTATGCTCTTAGATTTAATTGGCAAGTTCTTCCTCGAATAGACAAGGTCTTGGTTGAATTTGCCATTCATAGATTTTTTTTTTTTACTTTTTTTTTAAAAAACTAGTACTAATATCATGGTGTAGGAGCTCCAGTTGTTTTTTATTCATGCTAGCTAAATAAGCTCTCTGGTCCTTTTGGGATGATTTTCAAGTTCTGAGATGCAGGCATTGCATCAAGTCTTTGAGGCCATTCATGTATACAAGCCTTTTATCATGTTCTTCTGTTCTTGCAACTCTCTTATCTCATCTTTTTCTTTAGACTGCAGTGTTCCCTCCCCTCCCCAAGACACTGGCCTCTTTGGAAAATTCTAGTTTCTTCTTTTCTGCAACAAAATTTTCAGCAAGGGGACTGCATGGACATTTGCCAAGCATATTAATGGTTTCCACTCCTCATCTTTGTTTCTTTATTTATTTTACAAGATATTTTAAGCATTTGAAGCTTTTGATCTGCTCATTTTTGCTTGCTTGATAGTAATTCATATGATGCTATCTCCATTTTGATAACCAATTCGCAAGTGTACTGAATGATACCTCAAAAGAAATTTAGTGAAAAACTTTATAATTTGATTGAAATATTTTAAGCTCAGGTAATATTATATATATGCTAACAATCAAAGTGGAAAAATTACCTCTCTGATCTAACTGTGAAAACTTTCATGTCCTGCAGCACTGCATTCTACGCTTCTGGACAAACTTTTCAATATTTTTCTTTTTCATATTTTGCAGGACAAGCCCTGAACTTCTGCTAAATCCTGTAAGAGTCATCTTCTTGACTTAAAGAGACATCAGCATATTATTCCTTCTTTTTTTAACCTAAAATTGTTATGTCTTATAGATAGATATATATATATATATATTATTGAAGAATGGAAAAATTTAAAATTTTTAATCTTTGGATAAAAATGCATGCCTTTACTTTGATATGAAAAGTATATCCTATTTGGTGTTTCATTTTAATTCTTTGCTCATCTTTACTCCAGGATGATCCTCTTTTTTACCATTTGCTTTTGCTTTATAACACATGAAAATTGCAAGGAAGCAAAAGGAAACACTATTAGTAAAGAGGCAAAAACAAACAATATAAAGCAGGTAGCAAAAGCAACAATGAAATGGAGCCTTATTATGTGTTTTCTGCATTTTGTCATTGTTAAATTTTTAGGCTACTTTGGGCTCTGCATACAGAAGGTATGAGACATGAATCCACCTAGCATGGAATTTCTGTTTTTTTCTGTCAATCACTTAATTTCTTTAGGTACTTCTAACAAGTTGTTTTTGAGCTTGGAGGATTGAAAAATGTAACTTGGACAAACTAAGCCTGGATTTTGCATTTTTTTAAAAATTATGAACCCATAGGAGTTTTACATTACTAAATCAAGGGTTACGTCTCAAGTAAGCCTCCGCACTTGACATTTGCCACATACACCTTTCATCATGCAATCCAGTGATGGGGTGTAACGTCAAGATACATGCATATGTGCCAGTAAATGTGTGATTTTATGGTTTCCGGTAGACATGATTTTATGTGATTTAATTGGTAAAATTAGAAAATGGCTAGTTAGTTGTTCAGTTCTCCCCTTTTAAACTTTTTTATGTTACTGGTCATGGATCTTTTCAATATGACAATTTGCCATTGCAGCTTTTGATATGTCGAAATGAGGCTGAAAAATGCTTAATAGAAACATCTATCAATTCACTCCAGATAAGCCTCAAGGTGAATATAAATAACCTTTCCCTGGATGTTTCTTTTGTCTGGCAGAGGTAATTGCTGCAAAGAGGATCTGTTTTGTTTGAATGTTTTTCTTGCTTTTAGATTAAATAAACAGCATCACATGCATGATGCTGATGGGTATCTTCTATTTAAGATAAACCATTTGGCCCCTTTTTCTTTTTTTTCCCCCCAAATTAATTGGTATGTTCTATTGCCCTGGGTTGTCAGTCCACATTTGTGGATGATTTCAGTTTCTACTTGGTTCAACCATCGAAATCTATGTGTTGTGTTACCAGAGAGAAATTTTCTTCCAGGTTGAGACAAACTATTTGGGAGGAAATATCTCCTATTTTTCTTCTCCTAGTCATTTAATATAAAAACAGGAATCTGTTGTTCGACAATCTGAACTGCTCATGTCATAGGATTATGTCTTCTCTTCTCTACTCAATTTGTACCTAGAATTCAAGCTCAATATGTTTTTGTATCATCCTTACCTATTCCTCAACTTTCTTCCTCTATATTACCAACCGATTTAAATATATGATAATTAGATTGGATACCACATCCCTCAATTCTAAAACTCATTTTTAGCAAAACCGTATTCATGCTAAACCCTCTATAAACCCCCTTACATCTTCCCTTAAGAAACAAACCTAAATCTTTACTCTTAGCTGCCATTGAACTCTGGTACTTATCTTCTGATTTATGGACACTGTTTTGCCATCCAAAACTGAATTTAACGATAATTTCTGGCTTTTCTTCTATTAGAACTGACCTTAGAACCAAAATGCTTGTCAATGTTTTCATCATGGATGAATCTTCTATTTCCATACAGCTCCATGCAGGGCCTGATTTGCTGGATGGGTTTTAAATAAATTGATTCCTGGCCTAGCACTATTCTACTTATTACTGTATAAACACATTTCGAGTTTAGGGTTTAGGTTCAACTTTATAAGTTCTAACTCCTATCTTTTGTATGTTACATATCCTTGTTCCATGTAGCATGTTTATATTGATTACCCTTCAAACAATTTCTTGGTAAAATCTCAGGATATAGATGAAGACATAAGTGAATTGAAAATGTTCGTAAATACACGGGAGAGGCTGGTGGCTACAGAGTTTTTGAAGCAATTTATCTAACATTTTGAAGATTTATTACATCTGAATGAATTTGGCTCCGGCAAATCCTTTAGAACAACACATAGATGTGAGTGTCCATGATTTGGCCATAAGCTGCATTTGCCAAGATTGTGATCCTTCTTCAATCAGTAGTCATTGTCAAGCATATAGATCAAACAAGACGAATTCCTTCATTACATACTTTATGTTCATACATGTACCATGTTAATGTACAACATCTGTAGAATTTTTGAAAGTATGGAACCAACAGACTGGAATTTGGTAAGTTGAGCGTTCTTATTTCTGGGAAAATTTAGCAAAATGTGTGTTACTATCATTATGATATATTTCAACCATTCGAATCTAAGATTTTAATTTAAAGGTTTCATATATATATATATATATATTTATATTTATGGAATGCAAGGGGGTTATCTTTCACTCCTATCGTTTAATCGAAAGACAAAAAATGGGAGCCCTTGAAAATGCAGCTACATAATAAAGAAGGATTTGCTTAGACGATAACATTGTTCTCATTTTTTCTATTTGGACAGACATAAAATTCCATAAGATAAAGAAGTGTCACTAAGATGCATGAGATCCTAATCAGGGACGGGGATGGAGAATGCTCTACCTGCTCTATACCCTACTCATTGACATCCTAATCGAAACCAACTAGAGATAGGGGAAAGATGATACTCCAAATATTGAAAATATATATATATATATATATATCTCACTCAAAATGCAAACAATTTGAGCTCAGGTGAAGCATACCAGCATCACAGAGCAGTCAGCCACTGCAGGTGGAGCACTTTTAGTGTTCCAAAATTTTGATCTTCTCAAAATAGTTTTGCATTTGCTGGGTAACATCAGCTGAGAGGCGTGCTCCAACAAAAAGCTTGTACTGCTCAAATTTTAGCTCATCACACTTCAGGGCAGCATTTTTACAGGCCTTTATACTTCCTGGAACAAAGAAAGAAACTAGAAATTAAGAGTTTGATCTGTTTTAGAAATTTCAAGAATTTCACACCAAATTATGCACATGGTTCAAGTCTTAGCTTCGCTTCGAATCATACAAAATATTTCAACATATACATCATCTAAAAAAGAGGACAGGTAAAACAAGAATGTGGCAGGCTAAGAAGCAGAATCGTATGCTTAATCACTATTCACATTAGACAACAAATACTCATAAAAATCTTTTCATACTAAAAATTTTTCTGTAACAATTGTTAACTACCTTCCCTTATAGAGTTATAATTCAGCAAAAACGAACTTCAAGCTTGGAAGAAATAAATAAACTATGTTCTTTCTAATATCGAGTAGTCGAACTAAAATATTACTAACATACCAACTTTGGTTTTGTATTTACAGTACTAACCACTAAGATCCAGTAAGTTAAACAGCACCGGGCAATTTCCAATACTCCTAACCATGCTTATTGCAGACCAAATTTTTTGGTACTCCTCTCTTGAAGCTCTGATAACACACAACTTTGTAATGGGATTGACATATTTAACTATAAATAAAACAAAAAAAAAGGAGTCAAAGATCATGAGACGCAAGAAATTCAATTCAGCAATCAAAGGGAAAAACAAGCTAACAAAAGAACAGGCACCATAGTTCAAACCATACCTTGGAAGGATCCAAGTGAAGAAGCTAAACCACATTCACCAAAGTTGACAAGAATGCTATCCTTGATTGATTTTGAGATGTTAAATTGGGTAATTACAATGGCATCATCCCCCAAATTTTCTTTATTTGGGTCCAAAAATACCTCCATTACCATGTACCTATTCTTAAATCCCACCATTATCTTTTTTCCCTGCTTTATAACAAACAATCCCATCAAATAACTTCATTCAGCTTAAAACAAAAGGCTAATATACTATCAAAAGAAAAGAAAAAGAAAAAGAAAAGCCCGCCTTTAAGCTCATGTAAACCTGCTAAACAAAAGAAATTTACGGGCCCATTCACAATATTTGAACAAAGCTCCAGAATTTATGCGAATTATTGAAGCCAACTCAAAACCCAGAATTAAAATAGTAAAATATTCAGTAGAAAAAAAAAATCGAAGGACTCACCCGTTGCTGATCGGTGGTGAGGATAGAAGCCGTCAAGTAAACTATAGCGTTTGGGACTTTCAAAAGGGTTTCTATTTATTGTCAGTTTGCATGACTCAAAACGCAAAGTTGCATAACCGTTTGTCATTTTTTTTTTTTTACCTCAAGTGCAATTTGCGATTATGATTTGTGATATAATTAATAAAATGTGAATTATATAGTTTTTTTTACAAAGTGCTGTAAGTAAGGTTAAGAAAAAAAATAAAGAAAATTTAAAATTAATTTAAAATTATAATATTTAATTTGATTTAAATTGATTTTATTATTTAGTTTGAATTAAATTTGGATGTTAATATATATATATATATATATATATATTAAGTTCAGATAAAATTTGAATCAATAAATAAAAATAAAAATAATTGAATTATATTTTTTATTAATTTTTTTATATTTTTAAATTATATAAATAAAGAAATTAAATTTTAAAAATAAAAAAATCAAATCGAATTGAACTTGTAAAGTTTAGCTTGAATTGAATCGATTTAAAAAAAAAATTTAATTTGAATTTCAATTAAATTTAAAAAATTTATAATATTATATATTATTCAAAAATTTTAATTAAATTTGATTTGACTCAAATTATTATTATTCATAATCGAAAAAGATAAAAAAAAATTATAAATATTAATATTTGAATTTTAAATTTATTTGAATACTGACTTTTAAGATGATTGTATAAACAAATTCAGTTAAATTTTAACTTCATATAATTTATTTTTTAAGTTATAAATTAATGAATTCCAAAATTTACTAGACTGAAAAAATAGATTTAAAAACTGCTTGTAGCAAGTGATTTTAAAGTAGGTAGAAAATCAATACTCCAAAGGATTTACATAGTTGACAGTTGCCACAAATACATTAGATTTTTAAATTGGAATTTAAAAACTTCATAATCAAATTTATAAAATAATTCAAATAGTTCTAAATTATTAACAACTTTGCCAGTGATTTTATATTATATATACTTTTTCTTTCTTCCTCTTTGCTCTTAAAAATATTATATTTTAATAATTAAAGACCGTTCTGATAATCATTTTTACATTTTGATTTTTGTGTTAAAAAATAAAAGAAAAAAAAGGAAAAATATACAATTTGAATAAAAAAACTAAAGATAAATAATAAAATGCAAAATGAAAAACATCTACCAAATGAAACCTAAATTATCCATTGCCAATATTTTTTTTTCTTTACTTATTTAAATTGGTAGCACAAAACACCCTATGCATATATATTTTAGAAGCTATGATTATAATCAAATATTAACAAACAGATCAACCAATAAATTAAAAATTAATTAGACAAATTTTAACATAAAATTGAACTAAATCTTCATACAAATAGAATTAAATTTTAAATCTCCTGATTTCATAACCTTCTTGCCACTGAATTAATATCTCGTTAGCCATTCAATGTTATGTTAATTAATAATATATATATATATATATAAAATAACCATCATAAAGGTGGTGGATTTTTCAAAATTTTATTCACGTTGAGTACTTAATTCGGCATTTTAATATTCAATTCAAGAGAATCACAAATTTAATTGAATTTTTATTTTTTAATACATTTTAATGTACTTAATATATATACATAAGTATTTAAAAAATATGCTTATATTCATAAATAATGAAAATATTATGTTTTATATTTATAATTTTATTGAATTTAATCGAACTTATCAAATCAAACTTAAATTATTTAAATAAATTATGAATCGAGTATTAGTATACAACATTAAATTTGATTGATATTAAATCAAATTTTGAACATTAAATTTTCAAATCAAATCAATATGGTCATAGTGGATTTACTCCATGCGACGGCTCGGTACGAATGATATCTAACTTATTTTTTGCCAGAAAGATATTTAACTATTTAAGTACTAATAATCTAATTCTATCCATTGGTTTGTCAAGGTAATTGGTATGTCCTGCTCAAGTACTAAAGCAAGGAATTGCTTCCTAAAAAGGGCAGGCTACCCCCTTAACAAAAAAGAAATCCTAAACCCAAAATGGCAATCTTTCGGCTAATGACAACCTCAGCAAAGCAACGTAGTCGTAGCCCTTTAGACTTCAGTCTTTCTTGTATATCCCCCCAAGCCCTACACCAAAAAATATTTAATGCCTTAATTTCTCGTCAATACAGAAACCCAAAGTCATTGCCCATGTTTCCTGGCCATGTCTTCCTTATTTTCATTGCATTGTTCTTTTACAGCTCTCATTCTTGCACTTTCACAATAACAAACAACTGCCCTTACACAATATGGCCTGGAACACTTGCTGGTTCGGGGACTCCACAGCTTCCAACTACAGGGTTCCAGTTGGATTCAGGCCGAAGTGTTAGAATCCAGTCAGTTCCAGGGTGGTCAGGTCGGATTTGGGGCAGGACAGGTTGCTCATTTGATGCCACTGGTGTTGGGGCTTGTCAGACTGGTGATTGTGGGGGAAGGCTTGAATGTGATGGCAATGGTGCTACTCCACCTGCATCTCTTTTTGAAATAACTCTTGGTGCAGGAAATGACCAAGATTTCTACGATGTTAGCATTGTTGATGGCCTATAATTTGCCTCTTGTTGCCGCACCTCGCGGAGTTTTTGGTGCATGTAATGCCACAGGCTGTGCTAATGATCTGAATAAGGGTAACAACTAAAAGTCACCGTCATAAGCCAAAAAACAAAAAAACAAAAGCAAATATGTAGCCAATGAAATCTTGATCTACTAACATGACATACTAAGATTTTAAGAATAAGTTGAAATTAATCTCACGTTGATGGTATATAACTTATGCTGCATTATTTAAAGTTCAAATTTTAGCATTCAAATTTTTTTTTTTTGAATTCTCATATTGTGATTTTTTTTATAAAAATTATTATTATTCATTTTTAAACCTTTAAACGGGTTTAATTTTATCATTATATTTTTTAATTTGATATATTAAAAAACAGGTTGCCCTAAAGAACTTCAAGTGGTGGGAGGAGATGGGAGAGGAGCAGAGAAAGTAGTTGCATGCAAAAGTGCATGTGAAGCATTTGGGCTAGACCAATATTGCTTGCAGTGGGGAATTTGCTAACCCAACAACATGCAGGCCTTCATTCTATTCAACTATTTTCAAGAGGGCTTGCCCCAGGGCTTACAGCTATGCTTATGATGATGGTACCAGCACTTTCACTTGCAAGGCCTATGATTATCTGCTCATTTTCTGCCCAAATACTCACAGGTGTTTATTTCTCTTTGTTATCATCAACATGAAGGCAGAAGAATTTTGATAATAAATATTAAACCTAAAAAATAAAACCATAAAAAAGCCATAAATGTGATGTTTCTAACATTATGCTGAATGCATTTTCATTTTGTATGTATGGCACAGCTAATTATTATCAAAATTTTAATAGAATTAATCAAATTGGAAATGCAGGGCAAATAGATCAAATGGCGGGTTTACACCTCCATACCATGAACATGGGGCCAAGGGGAAGGTTGTGCAGTCAGTTTCCTCATCAAATCTACTCTTACCCCTTCCAGTTCCCATCCTTCTTGTTGCTGTCAATATGTTATTTTGAAAATATCTATTGGCTTCATTGCCATTTGCTGCTATGAGATGATCCTTGGACATAACCCCACTCATACCTTGATGATTTAAAAGACGAAGGAAAAAATAGCTCAAGTAATAATTTGCAAAGCATTGAACCTTGAGAATTTAGCCAATGCCACCAAGAGCATATATTGTAGCTGATCAATGAGAATTTTATCCTCAATATGATCTGCTTTTTATTTTTTTTGTTGGCCACCACAATATGATCTTCCTCAGGTTACCTTGGAATTGGTTTATTTGTCTAGTTTGGAATATTACAATATATTGAGATGTAAAGGAAATAATGCAATAAAACAAAACTTGCAATCAATGAGAACCCTGATTGACTCACAAGACAAATAACAACTTTGCTTGAATTGCTGTGAATGTGAGGGAATTACTAACTGGAATGCAGAAAACAATTAGGAACTGCAGAATATATGCAGAACATCATATATTCTGTTTATCATTTGATGGCAAATCACAATCAGGAATCATTAAAGAAACCAAGAGCATCATGAACAAGAAAAAAGAAAAAAGACCAACAAATTTGCTGCAGCTTGAACCTGAACTGAAATACTCCAAAGGTTTGAGTTACTTCCTTACCTAAGTCATATGTGCATTTTGAGCATGTCTGCCATACCATTTAAAAACATACCATTTTACCAAAGATCACAACTACTTTCAATCTTGATTAGCAACTTTTTATCCCTTCCATTTATGGGTTATGTTTTTAGCACAGATATTAGAGTCATCTTGCTCACAGGAGGATTCATTTAGTTGGATCGATAGTGAGATCAATTCCGATGAGTTTAGTTACTGTAATAATAATATTGAATATTATAGTGATGAGATTAAAATCAATGGTAAAATATGTATTTGAATATAAATGCAGCAGTTGAATTCAAATGAAGCCAAAGACCATTCTTAAACCTTATTCAACCAAAAGATAACTTTAAATCCTTTCCAAAGTCTCTTAAGGGAGCATTTGATTCGCAAAATCTTTGATTGTGAGAGAAAGTGTGATCTTCGAGAAAGTGCGATACGTAGAGTTTTCTTCCTCAAGGCATTCCATATTTAGGTTCACTTGTTTGATTAGAAGAATCTACGTATATTAATTCTTATATAATTATCATAATCTCATTGACATCTATGATGGCAACTTCTCATTTTGTTTTATTGATAATAAATACCCAAATGATAAATGATACCTTTAGCAATAAATGAAGACAAATATTTTATTTGATTGCTTTTTTTATTTATAAAATATTATTAATTGAGGCATTTAGTACTTTTTTTAATAACAAAAATTGATAGGAAAACTGTTAGAAAAAAGATCAATTAATACGTTTGCTACTTTTTTTATATTATGAAAAAAATTAAAAATGTTTCTTTAATTTATTTATAAAAGAATCATTTAAGGTGTTTCTGTACAAAAAATGTCTTAAATAATCTTTTTATACGTATTAAATAATCTTTTTATTTATAAAAAGATTGTTTAAAGTGTTTTCT